GAGTACAATGGCACGATCTCGGCTCACCGCAACCTCCGCCTCCTGGGTTCAAGTGATTCTCCTGCCTCAGCCTCCCGAGTAGCTGGGATTACAGGCATGCGCCACCATGCCTGGCTAATTTTGTATTTTTAGTAGAGACGGGGTTTCTCCATGTTGGTCAGGCTGGTCTTAAACTCCCAACCTCAAGTGATCCACCCGCCTCGGCCTGCCAAAGTGCTGGGATTACAGGCGTGAGCCACCGCGCCCGGCCATCTTTTTTTTTAAGATAGGGTTTCACTGTTTCACCCAGGCTGGGGTGCAGTTGTGCAATCACAGCTCACTGTAACCTCAAACTCCTAGGCTCAGGCCATCCTCTTGCTTCAGCCTCCCAAGTAGCTGGGACTGCAAGGCATGCACCACCACTCGTGGCTAATTTTAAAATTTTCTGTAGAGATGGGGTCTTGTTGTGTTGCCCAGGCTGGTCTCAAACTCCTGGCCTCAAGTGATCCTCCAAAAGTGCTGAGATTACAGGTGTTAACCACTGTGCCCAACTAAAAGTTTTTAATTTTGATGACATTCAATATATCTGTGTTTTTCTTTTATCACGTGTACTTTTGGTATTATATCCAGGAAATAGTTGCCTAATCCAAGGTCATGAAGATTTTACCCATATGCTTTTTTTTCAATATTTTATAGTTTAGCTCTTACACTTAGATCTTTGATCCATTTTCAGTTAATTTTTGTATATAGCATGAGATAGCCCCCCGCACCACCTCCCTCACACACACACTTCATTTTCTTGCATGTTGATATCCAGTGTCCCAGTAATATTCATTGAGAAGACTATTCTTTTTCCCACTGAATTATTTTGTCACTGTTGTCAAAAATCAATTGACCATAAAAGCGAAGGTTTCTTTCTTTTTTCTGAGACAGAGTCTCCCTCTATCGCCCAGGCTGGAGTGCAGTAGCGCCGTCTTGGCTCCTGGGTTCCAGTGAGTCTTGTGCCTCAGCCTCCCAAGTAGCCGGGATTACAGGCACATGCCATCATGCCTAGCTAATTTTTGTATTTTTAGTAGAGATGGGGTTTTGCCGTGTTGGCCAGGCTGGTCTCTAAGGTTTATTTCTAAACTTTTGTAAACTGAGTAATCTCAGTTGTATTCCATTTGTCTGTCCTCATGCTAGGACCACCTGTTCTTGGTTATTGTAACTTTGTAGATAATTTGAAACCAAAAGTGTGAATTTTAAAATTATGTTTTACTTTTTAAAGACTGTATTGACTATTCTGGTCCCTTAGATTTCCATGTAAAGTTTAGGATCAGCTTGTCAAAGTTCTGCCGAGAAGCCAGTGTGGGGCTTTGATAGGGACTGTGATGAATTTTAGAACTATTTGGGAGTATCATCTTGACAACATGTCTTCCAATCCATGAACATGGGATGTCTTTCCATTTATTTAGATCTTTAATTTCTTTCAGCAATGTTTTGTAGTTTTCCAGAGTATGTATTTTGTACTTTATTAAATTTATTCCTATGTATTTTTTTCTTTTTGATGCTATTGTACATAGAATTGCTTTCTTTGTTTCATTGTAAATGTTTGCCAATATACAGAAAGAATTGATTTTTGTATATTGATCTTGTATCCTGCAACTTTTCTGAACTCATGCATTTTTTATTTATTTATTTATTGTTGTTGTTTGTTTGTTTGTTTTGAGACAGGGTCTCACTCTGTTGCCCAGGCTGGAGTACAGTGGTTCGATCTCGGCGCACTGCAACTTCTGCCTCCTGGGTTGAAGAGATTCTCCCATCTCAGCCTCCTGAGTAGCTGGAACTATAGCTACCTGACCTCAAGTGATCCGTGCCCACCTCTGCCTCCCAAAGTGCTAGGATTACAGGCATAAGCCACCACACCTGTAATCACGTATTAGGCCAGGCATCGTGGCCCATGCCTGTAATCCAGCACTTTGGGACGTGATGGCAGGCAGATCACTTGAGGCCAGGAGTTTAAGACCAGCCTGGCCAACATGGCAAAACCTCATCTTTACTAAAAACAAAAAATTAGCCAGGTGTTGTGTTACATGCCTATAATCCCAGCTACTCAGGAGGCTGAGGCACGAGAATCACTTGAACCCAGCAGGTGGAGGTTTCAGTGAGCCAAGATCACACCACTGTACTCCAGCCTGGGCGACAGAGTGAGACTCTGTCTCAAAAAATAATAATAATAATAATGGCCGGGTGTGGTGGCTCCCAGCACTTTGGGAGGCCAAGGTGGGCAGATCACCTGAGGTCAGGAGTTCAAGACCAGCCCAGCCAACACGGTAAAACCCCCTCTACCAAAAATAGAAAAGTTAGGCAAGCATGGTAGCATGCACCTGTAATCCCAGCTACTTGGGAGGCTGAGGCAGGAGAATTGCTTGAACCCGGGAGGCAGAGGTTGCAGTGAGCTGAGATTAGGCCCTTGCGCTCCAGCCTGGGCAACGAAAGCGAAACTACATCTCAAAAAAATAAATAAAATAGTTTTTTAGTGGGTTCCTTAAGGGTTTTCTGTATAAAAGATCAAGTCATCTGTTAATGTAGTTTAGTTCTTCCTTTCCACTACTAGGTATTTTTCATGTTTATTTGTTCTTCTTCTTTCTCCTCCCACTAGAATGTAAGCTGGTTACCGCTGTGTTCCCAGTGCCTAGAACACGGCCTGGCACACACTGGTGCTCAGTTGTTTGATGATGAATGAATCATCATCATGAATGAATGAATAAGTGGAGCCAGCATGACTAGGCTCAGGTGATGCCCCCAGCCCAGGGCTCCCACTCCTGTGGCACCTATAGGGCTTAGATCTGTCCCTTCCTCCCCTGTCTTCAGCCCTGACCTTTTCTGCTTGTCCCCAGTCTTGGTTGCAGAGGGTTGTTGGAGCTCACCCTCCTAACAGGCTAGGTGCATTCTGGTTCTCTTGGTCCCTGGTGTCCTCACAGAGCCTTCACCAGGCCAGGCACTTTGCAGGATTCATTTCACTCAGTGCTCCCACAACAGTGGCCATGACAGGGGCGGTGTGCCCCAGTGAGTGTGCAGGTGTGGCCCCCGTCTGCCTGCCCTGTTGGCCTTTGTCACAGCCTTGGCAGGAGCACAGTGTAAGCCTTGGTCACATCCTCAAAGCCTTGTGGAGCCAAGAAGGGGTTGCCTGGAGGGGGCTCCTCATAGAAGGTGAGGCTTAGGGGCTTTCATTGGCTAGGAAAACGGGGCTCCCTCATTCATGCTGTGCCCTCTCTCTGGAACTGTCTCCTCCACCTGGCTACTTCCCAGGCTCATTCTATCCTGAGCTTGAATGTCACTTTCCCTGACTCACCCCTTCCCCCGCCCTCTCCTGGTGACACTGAGTCATCACTGGGTAAATACAGTCTGCAGTGGCTCATCCCAGCACCTGCTTGGCACTCAGAGACCTGGGTGGTTCCTCAGGGGCACAGCAGGGTACTGCAGGCCCCACAACGCCATGGGCTCTCCTTGCCAGGCTTTCCCGGGCTCCTGAGCCGAAGTGGCGACTGAGAGCCCTGACTCTGAAGTCAGACAGTCCTGGGTTTAAATCCTGCTTTGCCAGTCACTGGGGATGTGAGCTCAAGTGGCAGGTAGGGTGGCCTTCTCTTGAAGCTTCAGTGCCCTCAGCAGAAGGGGTGGCATAGAGCCCACCTTGCAAGACTGCCGTGCAAAGCAAACCTGGCGATGCTCAGGGGAGGGTTGACTGTGGCCCTCTCCGACCCTCCCTGAGGCCTGGATCTGGCAGTTAACCCACTCTCCTCGGGTCACTTCCTTAGCTGTCCCCTTGGCAGTTCTGGTTAGGAGGATGAGCTGGAGATAACGTCTCTAACACTGTCCCCTCCCTTCCCTGGCCACCCCTTCCTGAGCACAGGCTCTGCCAGGCAGGCTGTGTGGAGATGCGGAGCTGCTCGGGGATGCAGAGCTCAGTTCCGCCACGTGCCACTGCCACCCCCAGATCCTGTCGAGGCCCCCGCAGCAGTTGGGAGGGGCTTGGATGAGCTGCTGCCACTGGCTCCCACTCACTCCCAGAGCACAAAGCATCTCTCCAGTAAAGGGGTGCTGAATTTTTCAGCGTGGTCATGCTCTCCAACTCAGGAGGAATGGGGGGCAGGGGTTAGAAGACCAGAGCCCTCTGCTTAGTGTTGGTGAAGCTGAAGCCCCCAAGTCGCTTTCTCCACACCGAGTCCAACTGCTTGGGTTAATCCCTGTTCTGCTCTTCCCTGTGGTGGCCTCAGGCAAGGGTCTTAGCCTCCGGGCCCCCGGTTTCTTTGGGGATTAGGCTAATGATGTGGCTGTTCCAGGCAGAGGTTGGAAAGGTTTGGCATGACCACCTTTCTCTGGCACTTGGAGCAGGCTCCAGGGTCTGCTGGCTCTTGTGAAGTTCTCTGAACCGTGCTGGGCACATGGGAAGCGCTGTGTGGGTATCGGCTGTTGTTACTATTGCTGTTGTTGTTATTAGTGGTAAAGAATTGGGCTCTGGAGTCAGGAGGAACCAGGCTTCAGGCCCAGCTCAGCTATCTACTGGCTGGGAGGTGTGGGGCAGCTTGCTTAGCCTCGGTCTCTTCATCTGTGAAATAGGCTGAGTAGTCCAGCCTAAGACTGTTGTGAGGGTCACGAGGCGATTGGCAGATCCTGGCTTTGGAGGAGGTAATGGCAGTGCAGTTAACTGCCCAAGGTCTCAGGGCAAGGTGGCGGGAGCATCGCTGGGTGCAGAGGGAGGCTCTGCAGGTTGCCAGGCTTCCCGGGGAGGGACAGCTGCCCTAGCTCACCTCACCCCTGCCTTGTGTTTGTCTCATTTTTATTACCTTTTTGCTGTTGTTTTTACAACTACACGAGTACATTCTTGTGAAAACACAGCTACTTTGTGACACAGGGTGGAAGTGAAGCTTCCCACTGCCTCACTCCCAATGGGCAGGGCTCTTGCTGTGTCTCTGGTACCACATGGGGTCCCCTGGCGCGGATGCGCATGCCTGTGCTCACCTGTCACCTCTGGCCTGCAGGGAGGAGGTACAGGAGAACTGCGTGCGGTGGCGAAAGAGGTTCACCTTCGTGTGTAAGATGAGTGCTAACCCGGCCACCGGCCTGCTGGACCCCTGTGTCTTCCGCGTGTCTGTGCGCAAGGTGAGGCTAAGGGTGCATGTGGGGCTGCTGGGCTGGGCTGTAGGCCCCTCCCCTCATGAGTCCGCACCCCCAGCTGAAAATGGGGAGAGTTGCTCTGCCCCTTGCCCTCCTCCCCTCAGATCTGGGGGGACTGGGGGGAGATGCATGAGGTCCCTGGGATTTCCCAGTCAACTTGCTGCTCGTGTCTCCCTCCTTGTGCAGGAGCTGAAAGGCGGGAAGGCTTATTCCAAGGTAAGAGGGGCTGTGTGAAGGGGCGGTGGGATGGAATGCGGGGTGGCACGGGGACAGGCACAAGGGAAACCTCCAGCCCCTTCTCTGCCACAAGCAAGAGACACTCAGCCCTACCTGAGATGTGTTATTTTTTAGAAATATCTTTATTGATGGCCTTTGCACTCAATATAAAGGCAGCATAGGGTTGTTGGAATATCAATGGTACAGAAGTTCACTGAGTAAAAGGGCCAGTTTCTGTCCCCTTTCCTCTCTCCAGGCCTCTTTCTGGGACCCCATTATTGGGATTGATTAAGACCTTTGCAGACCTTGTAAGAAGGAAAAAAGGAAATATGCTATACAAAGAGAGCAGCAAATAAAATCTATGCATGTGGTTTAGAGAAATGCAAAATGAGCACCCTCTATGTGTACTTAAGTGCATGCAAACAATATGATTTTTTTTTTTTTCTGGAGACAGAGTCTTGCTCTGTTGCCAGGGCTGGAGTGCAATGGCATAATCTTGGCTCACTACAACCTCCACCTCCTGGGTTCAAGCAGTTCTCCTCCCTCAGCTTCCTGAGTACGGCTGGGCATGGTGGCTCATGCCTATAATCCTGGCACTTTGGGAGATGGAGGCAAGCGAATTGCCTGAGCTCAGGAGTTCAAGACCAGCCTCAGCAATATGACAAATCCCCATCTCTACTACAGTTGCAAAAAAAATTAACCAGGTGTGGTGGTGCACGCCTGTAATCCCAGCTACTCGGGAGGCTGGAGCACAAGAATCGCTTGCACCAGGAGGGTGGAGGTTACAGTGAGCCGAGATCGCGCCACTGCACTCCAGCCTGGGTGACAGAGCGAGACTCTGCCTCCAGATAAATAAATAAATACATACACAGATTTGCAGCTTGGTTTTTTACTTAATCCATCCTGGGCATCTTTTTGTGTTATCACAAATTTCTATGTGCTTTCTAAGGGCAGCAGTGTCCCGTGGCATGGCTGGAGATGGTTGACTCAGCCAGCCCTGCTGCTGGACATGTGCGTTGTTACCAGGGTTTCACTGCACCCACAGACAGTTCACCCCTACATAGTATTAATAAGAGCTTTTCTACTGAGTAAAGAGGGAGAAGACAGCTCTGACTTTGAATAAGCCTGCTCTGCCTTCCATCCCTCTTCTCCGTGGTATACTCTTGGCCTCCTCTTCTCATGTCCTGGGAGGCTTAGCCCAGTGGCAGGAAGGTGGGCTTCATCAGCTGGGAGGGGAAATGCCTTTGCCTCACCTCTCACCCGAGGGAGGTGCTATACAGGGCGCGGCCCTTCCCACTGACCGGAGCTCAGGAACTCAGCCAGCTGGGCCGTGCACTCTGCCCTGGCCCGGGGCGCTGACGTCCCTCTCCAGAAGCAGAGAGCAGTATGGCTAGAGCCAGGCTGTAGAGGGTGCCGTCAGAGTGGAAATTTCTCTGATTCACACGGTGAGGACTGCTGCCCAGCCAGGAAAGGAATTACCAGCAAACACCTGGGAGCATCTCGCCTCCACTGGCAAACATTTACCAGGCACCCAGCACATATCAGGCACTGCCAGGCCCCTTCCCTTCTGTTCTGTAATTGAACTCCCACTGCAGGCTTTACTCCCACTATACAGAGGAGGAAACTGAGGCCCTGAGAAGTGGCTGGACGCGGTGCTGATCAGGCCTAGCTTCAGTCTTGTCTCTATTGGGTTAGCTGTTTGGCCCTGGGCAAGCTTCTTCCCCTCCCTGAACTTAGTTTTCTCATCTGTAAAATGGGGATTAGTCTGAGTCCATGGCAGGGCTAGGATCTGAATCCACTTCCCTGATTCTGGAGTGTGTGCCCTGAACACTGCAGTAGAGACTTGCAGGCAGCAGGTACTTGACACCCATCCCTCATTGGTTCGGTTGGGTTCAAACATTGGTTCAAACATTTCATTATGTCTCTCTTCTGAGCCTGTTGTATCTGGAGCAGAGCTGGGCAGGAGGTGGAAAGCAGAGGCTCTGGGGCCTCCTAGACCCTTTGCAGAGGGAACCAGAGATGTCCTCCACGTCCCCAAGCCTGGCACCACCTTGTCTCAACCTGTTTCCCCTCCAGGTCTAGCAGACTTGGCCTCCATCCACAGAGCTTTCTTAGCACATGCCCTCTTTGCACTTACTCCCACTTCCCTCCCCATCCCTCGATCCTCTGCCCAGAGTTCCTGAGGGCCTGTTCAGACCCTGAACTCTGCCCAGCAGCCCCTCACTCTGGCCTCTACCAGGTTGCCTTCCCTGGGGCTCCTGCTCATCCTGCAGGGCCTGTGGGGGTGTCCCATCACTTCCCACAGGCCTTCCCTCCTCCCCTGCCTGCTGACCCGGCAGCTCCCTACAGCACGGCCTTGTTTCCCAGGGAACAATGCATCTGTGTCACGGACAACAATGTCCTTTCATGTCAGGCGCACTGGCCCCGGTGCACGCCGGGACGTGGCACAAAGGGTGCTTTGTCCAGCTCAGGGATGTGAGCTCCTGGCTTTGCCATGTTGGTGCTGCCGACCCGGGGCCTCTGTCCTTGGGTCCAGTTATGCAACAGTCAGTCGGGGCTGTGGGGTGGGCCCAGGGGCTTTGTCTGTCTTCGTCCCCAACTTTTGCCAAGTTACCCCTTCTGGGCTTCGGCCAGTCAGGAGTCCACACTCTCTCAGCCTCCCACACGCTCCTCTCACCTCCTAGCTGGGCTTCGCTGACTTGAACCTGGCCGAATTTGCGGGCTCGGGCTCCACGGTGCGCTGCTGCCTGCTCGAGGGATATGACACGAAGAACACTCGCCAGGACAACTCTATCCTTAAGGTACCAGGGATCCTGCCGCCTCTGCCACCCTGACCGTGGGATGGGGACAAACTGGGCTGCTCATCAGAACCCCCTGGAGAAGGGTTGTTAAAAATACAGGCCTTACCTGAATAGGCAGACATCCGGAAGGTGCAAGTCCGGGAATCAGAAAACCACTATCAGAGGGAGGCCTGGCTTAGCTGCTGGCCTCAGTTTCCCCATCAAGATCAGGGCGGGGCCCTGATTGTCTCCAAGGTTTGGCAAGCGCTTGCAGTGGGTCCACATCATACTGACTGCATGCCCTCTCTTCTCTCGTGGTCCCCTGACAGCAGCCCCACGAGCTGTGGTGTCTTTGATTAGTCCCAGCTTCAAATGGGAGGAAGTTGAGGCACAGACATTAAGTCATTTACCTGGAGTCACAGACAGAGCTGGCGTCTGACCCCCAGCCAGTTGACTTCTTGGCCCAGCTCCTAATCCTGCCCTAAGTGACAGGCGGTAGGTAGCCTGGCCCCTAGTGGATTATCAGCGAAAACGATAGCTGCTGAGGGCTCCGGGGCAGGCATGGGCAGGTTTCCAATAGCCAGGGCATCCCCACCCCCAGGCAGCTGCCTTGTTGGCCTTTTGGGGACAGAAATGTCTGGGTGTCCATCATCAGCACACCTCTCTTCCTCTGTTTCCACACCTTCCACCTGGCCAGGAAAACAGGCTGTCCAAACAGCACCTCTGCAAGGGGACCCAGGGAGAGCCTGTTGTATCTGGAGCAGAGCTGGGCAGGAGGTGGTGAGCAGGGACTCTGGGGCCTCCTAGACCCTTTGCAGAGGGAACCGGAGATGCCAGAAAGGGTCCAGACTGTCTTGGGAGCCGGAGCCTTTCAGCCTCAGTCAGGCTGAAAAGCACAGGCACAGTAGCCCTGTGCACCTCAGGCCAGATCAAGGGAGCCTGGGGGCCAGGTAGCCTTGGGTTCAAGGGCAACTCCCCCACGTCCTGTCTGCAGGGTCTTGGGAGTCACTTCCCCTCTCTGAGTCTTGGTTTCCTCATCAACAGCCTAGGGCTAGGCTGCTTTCATGGCCAAGTGAATAAGCCATAGAAAGCATCAACCTAGTGGTCACCCTTTCATAAGTGGTGGCCCCAGCATCTGTGCCCCTCTTTCCCACCTGCTTATCCTTTGCCTGTCACTCCATCTCAGCCTAGATTTTAGGATCCAAATGTTGCCACATTTGGGCTCTTAAGTTTGCAATGACTTCATGCTTTATTCATCAGACTTTCACCAAACCCTGCCCGCCACCTGCTGTGCCAGGCCCCATGAGCCCTCTTCCCTCTCCTGCCTGCTGGGTTGAGTTCTGTACTGCTTACACAGGGCCGGGGGTGAGTGCGTGACTCCACCCTGGAGAAGCTCACTGTCTAGGCCTGTAGCTGACTGCAGTCCGCTCACTCTGCCAGGCGCAGGGCTAAGCCCAGGCCTCACCTTGCTATGCCCTCCCCTCTGGTCTGCCAGGCAGGCCTTGGTACCATCTCTGTCCTCTACACAGGGAAACTGGGCTCAAAGAGGTTAGGTGGCTTTGCCAGAGCCCCCAAGCCAGAAGGGGGCAGAGAGACAGGACTGGAGTCCAAGCCCTTCTGAGGCCAGAGCCGAAAGGCTGCAGGGGGCCTTGCTCCTGGGCGGGCTGTGGGTGGCCAGGGCATGGCTGATTGCTCCCCTTGCCACAGGTCACCATTGGTATGTTCCTGCTCTCTGGAGACCCCTGCTTCAAGACGTGAGTGCTGGCACAGGCCTAGGGGGCGGATGGGAGCCCAGTCCTGGGCACTGGGGGTGGAGGAACAGGGACTCTTGGTGTCCTCCGTTTTCGTCTGGTCCTGAAGTGGGGCACCCTAGTCACACCTGTCTGTCTTCCCAAGGCCACCATCTACTGCCAAGTCCATCTCCATCCCAGGCCAGGATTCCTCCCTGCAGCTGACATGTAAGGGTGGCGGGACCAGCAGTGGTGGCAGCAGCACCAACTCCTTGACTGGGTCCCGGGCCCCCAAGGCCCGGCCCACCATTCTCAGCTCAGGTACAGTTCCTCATCTGCCCGCGCCTCCCCTGCTAGCGGCCCGAGGGCTTTACCTCCATGTCATGCCGAGGTCCCCAGGGAGATGCTGACTGAGGGGAAGGTGATGGTGGGAGGGTGTTTGCATGCTCCTGCTGGGCTGATGACATCTGAGCACCTTGTGTGTGCTGGCTATGCTGCTGGGCCCTGAGATCACAGCAGTGCCCTGGACTGAGACTGACGTGGCCTCTCCATCCTCATGGCCCTGCAGTCTAGCAGGAAAAACAGGCCTCAACCAAGTCATAGGTAAAGGACATGCATGTCTACCTGCAAACAGGATAAGAGCTGGGGAAGACAGGCCCAGAAGGTGGGATCCATCCGGGGCCAGGGAAGGCTTCCCTGAGGATGTGGTGTCTGAGCTGCATTCGGGGGGTGAGGCACAGTATACCTGGCAGAGAGACGTGCTGGGACCTCTTGCTCTCCCACGTGCTCTATGACCTTGACTGGCCAGTTTGCCTCTCCCTGTCTCGGTGTTCTCTGGAAAATGGGATTGGTAATAGCAGTTACATCCCAGGTCACTTTGGGGATTAACTGTCCACATGTGGGCACCTGCCCCGCACATGGTAAGCACTCAGTGGGCACTCTGGTTTTTGTTTTTGTTTTTTTAGACAGAGTCTCACTCTGTCGCTAGGCTGGAGTGCAGTGGTGCAATCTTGGCTCACTGCAACCTCCGCCTCCCGGGTTCAAGCATTTCTCCTGCCTCAGCCTCCGGAGTAGCTGGGACTACAGGCGAGCACCACCATGCCCAGCTAATTTTTTTTTTTTTTTTAAATTTTTTTTTATTTTTAGTAGAGACAGGATTTCACCGTATTAGCCAGGATGGTACCCAGCATGGTCTTGCTCTCCTGGTCTCGTGATCTGTCTGCCTTGGCCTCCCAAAATGCTGGGATTACAGGCGTGAGCCACCACACCTGGCCGGGCACTCTGTTTTTATTAAATTATCACTGGTAATAATGTTATGAAAAATGTGAAAGAGCCCCAACCCCCAGAGGAGATGGCGTGGCAATTAGGAGGAGGGGGTGCTGCCAGGACAGGAGGCTCTGGCCTGCCCCCAGGTGTTTCCTGGGCCCCCTCAACCCTAAGCAGGGCCCCCAGAGGTATGAGCCTTGGACCACCCCCAGGTGATTAGTGAACAAGGCATCAGGTGGCAACCCTGATTGTCCCACAGAATCAGTTAGAGCACAGGCCTCGTGTGGCCCAGCAGATGCTTGCCAAGTGATTCTGCCTCTGCGAACTGGGAGCGGTGAGGGACCCTCTGACCTCAAGGGTCTGGCCTTCCTTCACTCCCTTTTCCCCTGCAGACCCAGCCAGCTGAGGCCCGGAACAGAAAGCTGGGGACTCCCCAGCACAATTACTCTCTCCAGCCCCTGGATGGGAGTCCCCAGAAGAGAGATGTATCTGGGGATCAGGCCACCCCAGTGCAGGTGGTACCTTCGTGTGAAGTAGAAGAGGCCCCTCCCCAAGGCAGGGTGGGACTTGAGTACCCACTTGCCTCTGGAGCTGGGCTCACCCCCTATGCAGAGAACCTGTTGGGGACTTGAAAAGCCACATAGTTATGGATGGGCACACAGGCCAGCCTGGGGTATCACAGGCCAGCCTGGGGTGTGTTGGGCAGGAAGGTGGGTGGGTACTCAGAGCCCTGGGTAGGTCCCACCTGGTCCCTTATGCCTCCTGATGGGGAGTGCCAGGAAAATCTGTTTTGAAGTTGGACTTATGGGTAACTTGGGACAGGACTGTGGGCCTGTCCCTTTGGGCCAGCCTGCTCCCCTTCACCCTGTCCCTTCCACTCCAACTCTGCTGACCCAGGCCCCTTCCAGCCTCGGAGCCTCCGCCAATGCTGTTCTCTGTGCCTGGAAGGCCCTTGCCCTCCTGAGGCCTTAGCTGGCTCCCTCCAGCGATGTGTCCTGGAGATCTGCCATTAAGGCCATCTCCTTGGAGAAGCCTTCCCTGTCCTCAGACTGGGCCAGACCCCCAGTAAGCACTGTTCCCTGCTCTGTACCTCTCACTGCACTTGTGGGTAGTGGAGGCAGTTTTTGTTCAGCATTCCTCCTCGCTGGTCTGTGGTGGGCACCCCACACAAGGATGCCCTCTGTGGAATCAACGGACCTGGGTTCAGAAGGTGACCTGTGGCTCAGGCTGGTTGCTGCTCCTCTGAACCTGTTTTTCAGTCTGTTAAATGGCGCCCCGCCATGGGAGGCTCTGTGAGGGCACGCTGTGAAGGGCAATGGTGAGCAGCACTGGGTGACCCCTGTCACCTCATCCCTTGCTGCTTTCTGCCTTCCAGGGCTGCCAGAGGAACCCGACCAGAACCTGTCCAGCCCTGAGGAGGTGTTCCACTCTGGCCACTCCCGCAACTCCAGCTATGCCAGCCAGCAGTCCAAGATCTCTGGTGAGTGGCTGCCTGGCCCTGCCCCTGCGGCCTCCTCCTTCCTCGGGATCCCCCATTATGACGCTCCCCTGCGGCGCCCCCAACAGGCTACAGCACAGAGCACTCACGCTCCTCCAGCCTCTCAGACCTAACGCACCGCCGCAACACGTCCACCAGCAGCAGCGCCTCTGGGGGCCTTGGCATGACTGTGGAGGGCCCTGAGGGCAGTGAGCGGGAGCACCGGGCCCCGGAGAAGCCACCACGGCCACCCCGGCCCCTGCATCTGTCCGACCGCTCGTTCAGGTGAGGCCTACTGCTTGGTGCCCCCTGGAGAACAGACCCCTCCCAGTGGTGCCTTGAACCTCCGCTTTACCTGTAACACAGGGACCGTAGGGTCCCCAACTCAGTGGATTGGGTGGTGATGATTCCACCAACTCATGGCCCTGAAGGGTGCAGCCATGCCCGGCATGCAGCAGGTTCTGTTCATGGCTGCTGTTGTGGTTTTGCGGATCGGACAGGAGCACAGTCTGTGGGCCTGACAACTGGGCTAAGCCTTAGAGCCACTCCTTATGCGCTGGATGGCCTTGGAAAGCTGACTTACCTGCTCGTTGCCTGGCATCCTCGTCTATAAAACCGGCTCATGATGGCAGCTGCACCCTATTGTGCTCTCAAGGGTTCAGTGGAGCACAGCACGGAGCACATAGGGACATTCTGAGCACTGCTGCAGCTGGCCGGCATTATTGTCGTGGTTTTGTGCTCGCGCCTGTTACTGCCCTGACCATTGTGACTTGCCCCCCCAAAATCCGACCCAGGCGGAAGAAGGACTCGGTGGAGAGCCACCCGACCTGGGTGGATGACACGAGGATCGATGCGGATGCCATCGTGGAGAAGATCGTGCAGAGCCAGGACTTCACGGATGGCAGCAACACCGAGGGTGAGCCGTGCCGGGCTGGTGGGGGCGAGGCCACCTGCTCCAAGGGCTAGCCCTGCCCCGCTTAGCCTCCATCCTCCCCTGTGTTCCCACAGACAGCAACCTCCGGCTGTTCGTGAGCCGTGATGGCTCCGCCACGCTGAGCGGCATCCAGCTTGCCACCAGGTAGGACAGGCTCAGGGAGGGGTCGTCGGGGTGGCTGGGGCTTGGGGGTGAGAGCAGAGTCCCCACAGTCCACTCACCTGGCCTTGAATGCCAAGTCTTGTCGCCACAGTGTGACCCTGGGCCTGTCATGTCTGAAGCTCCCTTTCCCCATCCGTCAGGCGGTGTGGACACCACCACCTCACCTGGGAGCCTGGGGCAGTGAGGGCACGGACGGGTTCGGTCAGTTCCCATGGTTCACAGGGTCGCCTCGGGCGGTGCCTGGCACAGGGCTCAGCACACGGCAGGGGCCTCACAGGTTTATTTAGAATCCTCCCTTCCCCTTCCTCCCAGCTCCAGGGACTGGGAACAATGGTGGTGGTGATGCCTCATGGGTTTACTGAACAAATCTTTCCCTAGCACCATCTAGGCACCAGGCCCTGAGCGAAGGCCTGGTTTAACGCAGGCTGCTGCCTACACGGCATCCACAGATGGCGGGGATAGATGAGACCAAACTTGCAGGAACTACAGTTTATAGAGTCTATGCCGCGTCACAGGCATTCATTCGGAGCATGTTGACTGTGTGCCTGGCTCTCCATGTGCTTTTGGCTCACCGAATGAATGAGTGAGTGAGCAAATGAGCTTCCCACGGGCAGGCTGCTGAGGGCAGGTGGGGAGCCTGCCTAACATCCACCTCCCCAGGGAAGAGGCATGGCCAGGCTGCTGCGCCGAGGCTGCCCTTTCACGCTGCTCTGCTGACTCCTGCTGGCCACAGCCTGGAATGGCAGCCGTCACCTTGCAGTAGTCTTCCTGGGCTGCTCTGGGGTGGGGGTGGGGGAGCGGTGAGCAAGAAGGAAACTGAGGGGCTGGCTTCCTTAGGGGTTTGTAAACACACCCCTCCCTGGCCCCCTCTGAAAATGAGGAAGCATCTCCGGGAAAGAAACCAATCATTGGGAGTGAGATCACAGCAGAGCTACATGCTGAGCCCCAAGAGTCCCCGACTCCAGGACTGGGCCTGGGCTCAGCAGGGAAAGGAGCTGACCAGGTTTCCTGACTTCCCACTGCCCTCTTGGCCACCTTCACATCCCTCTGAGCCTCAGTTTCTTCACCTTTCAAGTGGGGCAGGGTGCAGTCACTCCCTGCCAAGGTGACTGTGAGGATGGCGTGGCACAGCCAGACGTGCCTGGAAGCGCTCTGCAGGCCCCACAGACTGATGCTTACTATCTGTGTCACTGTGGGCAAGGGACTTACCATCGCTGGGCCTTGGTTTTGGCCCCTTTGCAACACGGGGCTGGTTAACAGCACCTGCTGGTGAAACACCTCCAAAGGCCTGGTGCAGTGGAGCGCTCAGGACATGGGACATTGAGGGGGACATGCTGACCTGTCTCTCACCTGCAGGGTCTCTTCTGGGGTCTACGAGCCAGTTGTGATTGAAAGCCATTGAGGAGCAGGTGTCCAGGCTGGAGAAGAGTCCTGCTTTCTCTGGAGTCCAGACCCGCATCATTCCATGAGGAACGTTCCCCTTCAGATCACCTCTGCGCCATATCTCCTCCATGCCTCCTCCATGCACTCCAGTCCACACTGTCCCCCTAGCATCATTCCATTGCCCTCCCATCCATGCTGGGACCCTCCTGGCCCACCAAGGCCCAGGCACCACTGTGAATATTCTCCTCTGAACCACTAGAGGGCAGGCCAGGCGGGCCAGGCGGGCCCATACAGCTCGTGGACAAGGAGCTGGCCAGGACTGTTGCTGCCAGAGACTGACCCGGCCCTCTGGCTGAGGACATGCAGCAGCTCCTAAATGTAGAGATGCCTGTGACAGAAGCGCTTCTCTACCTGTGTCCCCACTCACTCCAGGAGCATTGGCTTTGGTCACGTCTTAGCAGCAGGGCCTTGCTCCATTGTTCCCTTGCCCTGGTGGTGGGGGGCCAGACCGCCTCCAGAATCCTGCCACCTGTGACTGTCTGCTTAGTGCTTCAGCTGTCCCTTCCTGTGACCTGGGGGACCTGCTGGCGGCCTCTTCCTGAGAGCCATGACCTCACACCCCACCCACACTCCAGATCGAGACCCCTGCCTCCCCCGGCGAAAGTCCTCCCGCTGCCTTGCAGCCTGCACTTTGCACATGCTCACCCCCAGCACAGTCCCGCTGGCCCCTCACCTCCCCTTCCGTGGGCCCCTTCCCAAAGACTCCTGGTCACTGCCTGCTGTGCAGTCAGAGGCCCAGGGTCCAGCAGCCCGGCGGGAACGGGTGCTGCCTCTCCTCCCTCCAGTTAGCTCCAGCTCAGGTCTGAGACCCATGCTGAGAAAGGTCTGAGCACTGACGGTGCCCTCTGCCCAGGGCTGGGTCCTGAGCAGCTGGTTTTCCTGCAGGAAGGTTGGAGCAAGCAAAGTCCTTCTCTGCCCTCAGGGTCAGCTGCCCAGACTGGGGTGGATGCCAGAGAGGCAGGTGGGCTGTGGCTGGACTGGTCCGGAGCTGGCTTCATTGCCAGAAAAGCCTCAGCCTTCCTCTGTAAGCATCCCCCGTTCTGGGCAAGGGGGAAGGGCTCCTTTAAGGGGTGTGCTTTCCCAGCGGGGAGCAGTCTGGCCCTGCCCCCTACTAAAGCCTCTGCTCTCAGCACTTTCCCCCAAGTCCTTGTAACTTGCTTGAAGGTGGGTTCTGGCTGCCAGCCAGTCCCTGGACAAATTCTCCTGCCCCTTTAAAATTTCACTCGTTTTGTATAAACCCAGCAGGCTGGTGTTTACTTAGCCCTGTAGCTTTTTCATTTTTTCTTTCCTTCTTTCTTCTTGAGTTCACGGTTCAATATTGTCTCCTCCCCCAGGTGAGGGGAGGTGCTGCTTTTCTGCCCCACCTGCCGGCTGGTTCCAGCAGCGCTGGGGCCCAGCTGGGGGGCCGGGATGGGGGCTTCTCTCTCTGGGAGGGGTGCAGGTGCCCTCCCCAGACTGGGAGGGTTCCTTCCCTAGTTTCCCATCTTCCCTTGCTGGTGAGAGTTGGGCTGCTTGGTCTTGGAACTCCCTGGCATTGGGACCAGAGCATTTCTAGCATTTGTTGTTGTTGTTTTACTCACCTAACCCTTAGAAAATGAATGTTAGAAGGTGCCTGCCGAGGTGGGACAGGGTGTTTACTCGGGCTGGAGAAGGCTCTGCTCAGCCCTGAGAGTCCCTTCCTGCCCCACAGATACTGGCACTTTAAAAAGGAAGCTGACCGCACTGTGTCCAGACGAATTCACCCCCAGAAGATGGGGGGAGTTCTGTCCTGCCCTTCTGTGTCTGTGTGACCTCACCCAGCCTAGGAGGGAGGTGCATTCAGGGTAGATTTGCCTCTCATTCAAAGTTCTGGGGCTTTGGGCAGAAAATAGCTGGCTTTGGTGCTGTTGGGGAGACTCCTCCAGACCAGGAACCCCGGAAGGAGACAGAGCCTGCCACATCCTCCCACACCAGGCCCTGGGCCAGGGTGATTGGACTGAGAATTCGGCCACAACCAAATTGATGCTGGCTGGAGCCAGAGGCCAGAAAGCCTGGCTTTGTTGTTCCCATGTGAGAGCCCTGTCCTCAGCCCTCCTGTCCCCTTGAGCTCAGTGAATTCCCACCAGGCGCCCAGAGCTCCTGGACTTCAAATTCTATATATTGAGAGAGATGGAGAGTATATCAGAGATATTTTTGGAAAGGAATTGGTCTATGCAATGTCAGATTGGAATCTTCTTGAAAGTTTAACGTTTTTATTAGGAGATTTAAAAAATAAAGGTCTACAATATCTTTAGGTTTTTTTTTTTTTTTTTTTTTTTTTTCCTGTTTACCGCACAAACTAACCACACGGCATGTCTGCCAGGATGGAGGGTGTCCATGTTCTCTGTCTTTAGGGAGGTGATCAAGGAGGTGGGGGGAGGTGTCTTTTTTTTCTTTGAGTCCCCTCCTTTCTAACAGAATGTTGCCACCACTACTTGAGTGGGCTGTGTTTGTTCTTCTGTCCCAGCTTCTGTTGTAGAAAATAACATTGTTAGGGGAAATCAGCCTAGTGTCAGTGTCTTGGTTTGAGGGGAAATAATTAAATGTTTCGGTTTTTGTTTCTTTTGCTGTTTTGTTTTTACCTTGTTACTTTATCATATTGACTTTAGGGTCAAAGGCAACATCAGAAGGAAGTCAGATATGTATAGTGACATTCTAGGGGTGGGGAAGATGTAGGGGTCCAGGGTTCTCCCGGTCCTGGCTACAGGCACAATCATCACCAACTTCATCATTCCAGATTCCTGAGGAGGAAACTGAGAAGGCCTACCTGCCAGCCTGGCCTACCTGCCAGCCTCGTACTGAGCGAAAGCTCTGTCCTCAGGGCCAAGTTCTAACCACTGCCCTGTAGACCTCCTCTGCAATCAAGTGGCCTCTAAGGAGCATGCCTGAGGACAAATAACTGTGCCTGTTTCCTCACCTGCAGATGAGGTTATCAATGCGAGTGTGCAGCCTGACCTATAGGAGGTGTGAATGTGTTCCCAAACTAAAGCCCCAGGCTGCCATCGTTTACAGGCCCAGGCTTGCCCTGGGCCCCTCACCCCTGTTTCTGACCCTCCCAAGTCGCTCTGGGACAGGCAAGTCACTCTGGGTCTTTAATGAGCTTGGAGGTGGCAGGAAGCTACAATGGTACTGGCCAGGCCAGGAGGAATCAGGCCACCAGGGCTCCATCTCTATCCCAGGATAGCATTCACCCCACTCCTCAGGGCTGACCCCCACTTACGGCCTCTTTAAACCCTGAAGGCGGATTCTGCCCCTTCCTCTGTTATATGCACAACCGGGGAGGGAAGTAAAAGTGGGCTCCTAGCTGAGCCCAAAGTCTCCTGAGAGATAAGGGAAAAGAATCGGATTGTAGGTTTAAAAATGTTGCTCTTGGCCAGGCGCAGTGGCTCACGCCTATAATCCCAGCACTTTGGGAGGCTGAGGCTCTAGGAGGCAGATCACTTGAGGTCAGGAGTTTGAGACCAGCCTGACCAACATAGAGAAACCCCATCTCGACTAAAAATAGAAAAATTAGCTGGGCGTGGTGGTGACTGCCTGTAATCCCAGCTACTCAGGAGGCTGAGGCAGGAGAATCACTTGAACCCAGGAGGCAGAGGTTGCAATGAGCCAAGATTGTGCCATTGCACTCCAGCCTGAGTGACAGGATGGGCTTCCAACAAACCAACGAGATAAATGCCAGAGGGAGTGAACCATGCCAGGCTCAGAGCACATCTCTCCCCAAACCCCCCAGGTGGGGACAGCAGGCCAAAGGCCTCCACATAACCCCTCAGGGAGGCCTGGAGTCCAGATGCTATACTCCAGGATCTAAACAATCACTGAATTTTAAAGCTGGCTGGTTCAAAACTCTTACTTTGGGCCGAGTGCGATGGCTCACACCTGTAACCCAAGCACTTTTGGAGGCTGAGGTGGGCGGATCACCTGAGGTCAGGAGTTTGATACCAACCTAGCCAACACGGTGAAAACCCGTCTCTACTAAAAACACAAAAATTAGCTGGACATGTTGGCACGCGCCTATAGTCCCAGCTACTCGGGAGGCTGAGGCAGGAGAATCACTTGAACCCAGGAGGCGGAGTTTGCAGTGAGCTGCGAACACGCCACTGCACTCCAGCCTGGCCGACAGTGAGACTCCCATCTCTGGGGGGGGAAAAAAAAAAAAAAACTCTTACTTTGGGCCAAGCCTCCACGGGGTGCCAGGGATACAGCAGCAACCTCAGATCCTACCCTCAGGGAGCTGACAGGGCCGGATGAACAAGTGTGTCAGTGAATTAAAAGGCACAGGAGGCTGGGCACGGTGGCTCACGCCTGTAAACTTTTGGAGGCCGAGTTGGGAGGATCGCTTGAGCCCAGGAGTTCGACACCAGCCTGGGTAACATAGAACTCCGTCTCTAAGAAAGAAAAAAAAAACCCTTCCCAGCTGGCTTCCCTGAGGAACGTGGTGTCCCAGGGAGCTGGATGGATGAGGAGCAGCCGGCCGGTGAGTGGTGGGGGCCCGCGTTCCTATCTCGGAGCTGAAGAAGCGTGGAAGATGATCTGGCCCAACATCCCTTTGTTCTCAGAGGAAGGACCCTCCAAGACCGGGGAGGGGCCTGTGCGTGGATTCCGGTCCGAAACGTGTCTGGGCTGCTGCGAGAGGCAGCCGGTGAAGGAAAGGAGGGGGCATCCGGAGAGTGGCCCGGGAGGCCAGGCGATGGTGAGGAGGGCGCCCCCTCTCCACCAATCCAAATCCTCCCCATTCATGCGGGCAGGGGACAGACCCTCCCCCGCCCATCCTAGGCTGGAAAGTGAACATTCTCTGCGCCTCTCCCACCTACAGACTAGTTACGGCCCCCAGTTCCCGTGTCGGCTTCACCACTGACTCGGATTGGGATCTACCTTTCTCTGAGCCTCGCTTTTCCCATCTGAAAAATGGAACTTCCGATCCCGCACTCCCATCTCACTCTGACCCCAGGACTTTGGGATACTTAGAGATTGGCTTTTGGTGGGGCGGCGACAGGACTGTGGCCATAAAGTCCAGGGAGTCTGGGTCCCCAACTCGGTCCCATTCCCTAGGGAGATTCGGGCAGCAACGGGCCCCACAATGCTCTTGAGAACTACACTTCCCCGATATGCAAAGGGGAGGAGGCGGTTCCCGCTAGTCTCCGACGACGTGGGCCTGAGCCGGCCTGGGGACTACGACTCCCGGCGCGCTCCGCAGTCCAAAGCCGGAAAAGCGTGAATCCGGAACCGGATGTGGCTTGCGGCTCCGGTGACTGAACGCGCGGGGAAATGGTGAGATTGGGACAGAGTGCCGGAGATAGGGGCGTCTGGGGGTGGCGTCTCGGGTGCTCAGGAGCTGGGGCATGGGCACTGGAACGGGGATTGCTCTCCCGCCCCCCCTATTGTACGGACGACAACGCGGAGGCCTGACATTCTCTCCCAGCCTAGAAACTGATCCCTAGTCAGCCCTCTAGCATCTGTTGAATGGGAAGCTTAGACCGTGATCGGGCCGCGACGCCCCGCCTCCATTAGTACGCCAAAATAGAGAGTCATTTCGTCAGCTGAGACCTCCCTTTTCTCCAGGCCACGGGGACAGACCAGGTGGTGGGACTCGGCCTCGTCGCCGTTAGCCTGATCATCTTCACCTACTACACCGCCTGGGTGATTCTCTTGGTATGTCATTCTCCCCGTCCGCTGCTCACCTTCCCGTAGCCCTGGCACCGCCAAAGCAACTTCTATGTAGGTTCTAGGCACGGCGCTGGCTTCATTGCCTGCTTTATCTCTTGAAATCTTCAGAACAACTCTATGAGGAAGATGCCAGTGGTGCCGCATTTTTTAGATGAGATAGCTGAGGCTCGGGGAGAAGGATCTGGCCCAAGATTGCATCCTTAGCCGCTACACTTAAAACTCTGTTTCCAGCTTGCTTTGACGTTTGGGGGAGTTACGTTCCTTCTGGGTTAGCCTGCTGACTCAGGCATGGCGAGCGCCAGTGATATCTGTGAAGGCCTTTAGGATATTTTTTTCTTGTGGGAAAACTTGTTGGTCATTGCTTAAGAAGTGCAGTGTGTTTGGAAGTGCAGAACTTGCTATCCTTTAGGGAAAAAATATTACTGAAGAATCCCTGGAGGCCCAGGTTGGGAGTCAGTCGAGGATTCCTCATGTACTATTTGCTAGGCTGTGAGTGCCTTAGGGCTGGTCTCTTGTCCCCTGTTCTCTTGTCCCCACCACCAACCTGTGGCAGGCACCAAAGCAAGTGCCCAGTAAATACCAATAAAAAATTAAGGAAGGAAACAAACCATGACACCCAAATGCCATAATCTTAAAGAAAAGCAGATGCAGGCCCAGTGCTCTGAATGGGCCAGCCCCTTAGATGGTGGAGGTGGTATGTTTGGGCTTGGGGGCTGGGCAAGGCGAGCAAGGCTCACCAGAGCTCTGCCCTCAATGCCAGCCATTCATCGACAGTGAGCATGTCATCCACAAGTATTTCCTGCCCCGAGCCTATGCTGTCGCCATCCCACTGGCTGCAGGCCTCCTACTGCTCCTGTTTGTGGGTAAGTCATCACTTCCTCCCCTTGACCCCGGGCAGGGTTTCGGGAGGACCCCACCTCTAAACATGCTTCCACACTTTGGCACTGCTGGAAGCTCCTTGCCCCGAACTCACCCCTGGGGTTTTCCTGTTCATCCTTCGAGGTTGCCAGTCAGTAACCTCTGGGTTTCCTGGTGCCCCAGGCTTTTTGGACTGCAATGACCTGTCCCCCTCTTTCCTGCCCCCAACCCCATCATCGCTCTGCTCACACCTCAGTCACCCTCTTGTCACCCTGGCTTCTAATTCCTGCACCTCTCTCTCTCATGGCTTCCTAGGGGCGGGGACTGTGTCTCCGTCATTACTGTGCATCTAGAATGGGCTGTGGCACTGAGGTTGTGCTCAGAAAGTCATTTGGATGAGTCAGTCAATAGCCAGGTGCCTGGATGATGGGTGGATGGATGGGTGGGTGGGTGAGGTGTAGGAGGTGGGTAGGTATATAGGTGGACAAGTGGTTGACTGGGTGATCTATAGATGGGTGGATCTTGTTCCCCTTGGAATCTGAAACACTAAATGCAGCATCTTGCCTGAGGCAGGCACTCAGCTGGTGTTTGTTGAATGAATGTGGACGTATGGCTTGACGAATGACTAGGGAGATGAGCAGGTTCCCTGGAGAGTGGTTGGATAGGTTCACAGCCCTGCGTATGGGTGGCTCTGCTGTGTCATGCCCTGGCCTCCCAGCAGCCCTGAGCTTAGATCTTACGTGGCCTTTCTGGTCTATGAATTCCAGGACTGTTCATCACCTACGTGATGCTGAAGAGCGAGAGGGTGACCAAGAAGGCTCAGTGAAGGTCCCGCGGGGATGAGGCTGCCAGCCCCTTCTCTGCTTCCCCTCCAGCACAGGGACCAAGTAGGGGAGCCTGCAGAACCTGTCCAGGCACAGTGGCGCCTCAAGCCTGCCTGTCCTGCAGAGTCCCCATGACATGGAGCTTACCCCTGCCTGACCGGAGCCCCCTCCCTGACTCCCACTTCCGGAAGCTAGGAGGGAGGAATACCTGGAAGACTCCAGTCACCCCCTTCTTGCTCAGGGCCTAAAAGATACTGGTCTCCCAACCTCACTCTCAGACTCCCTGCCACCTTTTCCCCCGAGTTCTGCCATGTTGCCTCACTTCCCCTCCTGTCACATGCTGACATTGGACTTAGCGGGTTCTAAGGCCGCATGTGTGACCTCTCTGACGTCTCTCCACAAGTCCTGCTCCTCCAGCAAGGCAGCTTTCCTTAGCCTGACACAGCCCAAGACCCCACAAAGCCTTCTGGACCTGGAACGCCTGGGGAAGGACTGACAGACCCCCGGACCAGCCCTGGGGCTCAGGGCATAGTAGCTGCTGACCGATGACTCCTCATGGAAGCCCAGCCCCAAAGCCCCAGGGCTGGCCTGTTTGGGAGAGCTGACCAATAAACACTGATAATGTGTTTGTCTCTGTGCTGTGTTTACCCAGGGTCGGGGCTGGAGCGGGCTGGGAGTGGTCTTGGGTCAGGAGATCCTGTACAATAGGGGTGACTCAGGGGCCTTCTGCCCTGACCCTGTGCGCTGGGGATAGGGCAGGGACTGGGAGAGATGTGCTACCTACCCAATGGAGCTCACAGCTGGGAGTCATTGAAGGCCCTGGCACCCCTGTGCCATGCCTCCTCTGTGCCAGCTTGGGCAGGTTGGATTTATTACTTTAGGGACCCTCGGGCCACTCCCCTAAAAGCCCCACAGCCCAACTTAACTTGGCCCTGAGCAGTGAAGGCTGCTGTGTGTTCAGGTTGGCTGGACTGGCCCAGCCCCCAGCCTTCCAGCAGTCCCACCGCACCTGGGCAGCTGGCTCTCCCATTTACCACCGCACCTGGTATAAACCCCCATTCCTCAAACCCGGGACCCTCCCTCTTCTTCCAGTTGGCAGAGGTATCTTCCTCATCACAGAGAAAAAAGAGGCCAACTGCAGACACCTGCCCTGTCCCTACCTGCTCCATACTCTGTCCTCCAGTCCAGGCAGAGCTGCCTACTTGGGCTCTGAATCCTAATCCACCAACCTCCAACTACTATAGTGGGAGCCTGAGGTCACAGATGGCCCCACCCTGTTGTGAGAAAAATCTCCACAGGATTCTCCCACTGTTTCCTAAGTGCTCTGGGTTCCCACTTACAGGCCCTCTGTCAACCCAGTAGTTCCCACTAAGTGTCTCCCTCTGTCCATTTCCCCACCAAGCTTCCCCAAAGGGGGTCCACATCTGCCTCCTGCATTTCCTCACCTCCTGCCACACTCAGCATCTGTCCCCATCTCCAGGCAGGCTCCAGCCACTGAGGCCACCAGCAGTGTCCACTCTATTTTTTTTTTTTTTTTTTTTTGTAATTTTTTTTTTGTGACGAAGTTTCGCTCTTGTTGCCCAGGCTGGAGTGCAATGGCATGATCTCGGCTCACTGCAACCTCTACCTCCCGAGTTCAAGTGATTATCCTGTCTCAGCTTCCCAAGTAGCTGGGATTACAGGCATGCACCACCACACCGGCTAATTTTGTATTTTTTGTAGAGACTGGGTTTCTCCATGTTGGTCAGGCTGGTCTTGAACTCTTGACCTCAGGCTATCCACCTGCCTTGGCCCCCCAGAGTGCTGGGATTACAGGAATAAGCCACCATGCCCAGTTGATGTCCACTCTTTAAATCCAAAGGATGTCTGCTTGACTCTCAGCTGCATTTGGCCTGTGACATCCCCTGATCCGCTGTCAGCCACTTTCTTGATGTCTGTGATGATCATTCTTTTTGTTTGTTTGTTTGTTTGTTTGTTTGTTTGAGACACAGTCTCTCTCTGCTGCCCGGGCTGGAGTGTAGTGGTACGATCTTGGCTCACTGCAACCTCTGCCTCCTGGGTTCAAGTGATCCTCCTGCCTCAGTCTCCCTAGTAGCTGGGATTACAGGCACCCGCCACCACGCCCAGCAAATTTTTTTGTATTTTTAGTAGAGATGGAGTTTTGCCTTATTGACCAGGCTGGTTTCAAACTCCTGACCTCAGGTGATCTGCCTGCCTCAGCCTCCCAAAGTGCTGGAATTACAGGCATGAGCCACCATGCCCGACTGTGATGACCATTCTGCTATTTGATGTTTCACTCATGCTGTCTTCTGTGACGCCATGCTGGGCTCCTCAGGGATGTGTCACAAGCCTTCTCACTCTCGCCAGGCTCACCTCTGGCCCGATGCGCTGCACATGGCCCAGCTGCCCACCTGACATCCTCATCGGATGCCATGGTGGGAACCTCAAATGCATTCTCTCATGAGCTGAATTCTCATACTTCTCCCAGATCTGGCTCTCCTCCTCATGCCTTGCCCCCTCTTGTGACTGGTGTCCCATGTCCTTAACCTGGCTTTTTTCCTCATGCCCCCATCCACAGGACCCCAAGCTTTATCAATCCTCCCCTTTTCTCCTGGCCTCTAGCCACCTTCCTGAGGCAAAGCCACCATCCTCTGCCCTAAGTCACAGATGGCTTCCTCACCACTTCCGCCCACTCTGGCCCCACCAGTCCAACTATGCATGACAACCAGTGCCCTTCAAAAATGTGCACCTTGACCAGGCACGGTGGCTCATGCCTGTAATCCCAGCACTTTGGGAGGCCGAGGCGGGTGGATCACAAGGTCAGGAGATCAATACCATCCTGGCCAACATGGTGAAACCTCGGTTCTACTAAAAATACAAAAATGGCTGGGCGTGGTGTCTCAGGCCTGTAATCCCAGCACTTTGGGAGGCTGAGGCGGGTGGATCACAAGGTCAGGAGATCAATACCATCCTGGCCAACATGGTGAAACCCCGGTTCTACTAAAAATACAAAAATTAGCTGGACGTGGTGGCGCATGCCTGTAATCCTAGCTACTCGGGAGGCTGAGGCAGGAGAATTACTTGAACCAGGAAGTCGGAGGTTGAAGTGAGCCGGGATCGTGCCACTGCACTCCAGCCTGGCAACAGAGAGAGACTCCATCTAAAAAAAAAAAAAAAAAATTAGCCCAGCATGGTAGCACGTGGCTGTAGTCCCAGCTACTCAGGAGGCTGAGGCAGAAGAATCGCTTGAACCTGGGAGGCAGAGGTTGCAGTTAGCCAAGACCGCACCACTGCACTCCAGCCTGGGCGACAGAGCAAGACTGTCTCAGAAAAAAAGAAAAAAAAAATTAGCTGGGCATGGTGACGGGTGCCTGTAATCCCAGCTACTTGGGAGGCTGAGGCACGAGAATCACTTGAACCCGGAGGCAGAGGTTGCAGTGAGCCAAGATCGCGCCATTGCACTCCAGCCTGGGCAACAGAGCGAGATTCTGTCTCAAAACAAACAAAACCCTCGCACCTTGGCACCTCACACTCACACTCATACCCACAATACCTCTCTGGGTCCCCACAAGGCGCTGCCTCCCAGCCTGCTCTCCCTTCTTCACTCCAGCCACTCTAGCCTTTCACTTCCTGCACTCGCCAAGGCCCTTTGCACACCCTACTCACCTTGGTCCCATAGACACTCATCCAGCACAGGCTTGTGCCAGGCACTCAGCCAGGAAGCAGGAGTGACATGGCCCCGCTTTCATGGCATTCCCACTCCAGGGGGAGACGTGCTAAACGATAAATAAGACAGTCTCTGACAGTGTTAGGGTGGTGAAGAAAATAAAGGTGATGTGATCAGGAGTGGGGGAAGGGAGCACTCTGCTGGAATCTGGCAAGGTGAGGAAAGAGCAAGGCGAGTGGCAGTCTGGGGTCAAGAGTTTCAAGTAGAGGGAACAGCAAATGCAGAGGCCTCAATGGGAGAGTCTGGCGGGTAAGGAACAGGAGGGTCTGGGCGGCTGGGTGGTAAGTGTAGGGTGAGTGGTTTGAGATGGGCCTGGGGTCAGGGTGAGGGGCTTGGGTTTTGTTCCATTGCCATGGGAGCCACTGGAGGCTTTAAGCACGAGAGTGACATCATCTGAATTATGCTTTTAAAGATCACGCAGGCAGCTGAGCCCCTCCCTCTCGCTCACCACTAAATCCCCAGGGCCTAGCACTGCTGGCCCACAGTGGGTGTTCAATATCTATGTGTTCAGTGAATGGATGTCCCGACTTTCCTGTGTGACCTAGAGGTAGTGACTTCTTTCTCTAGATCACTCAGTGTTTTCCCCCAAAAGACAGGCAAAGGGAATTTCACGCCAGAATGGGTGGGTGGCCAGGATTTAGGTTACTCGCCTCCCCAGGCGGCCCTAGCGACCCGAGTCCCCCAGCCCAGGGCGGAAAATGGGGGTGCTCCCTTCGCGGGACCCCAGCCAACGTCCGGCGGCCCCACCCCAGCCGGACCGAGGTCTGAAGGATGCTGCAGCCGCGGGGGCGGGACCCGCAGGCCATCGCCAGCGCCTCCCGTGCAGATTGGATGCAGCCGCGGTCGGCGCCACCCGATTGGTCGGCCGCGAGGCAGGGGCGTGGCCTGACTCCTGCAGCGGGGCGGCGGGGAACGCGGCCAAAGCCCGGGGAGCTGCTGCGGGGGCGATGGCTGCGCCGAGCCCCGGGCCCCGCGAGGTAGGTGCGGACCCGAGAGAGGACAGGAGAGGGAAGGGTTGGTGGGCAGGGGTCGGGCCTCCCCACGGCGAGCGGCGCGGACACGCCCCCATCCAAGCCAGGGAGGGGCCCTGCAGCCGGCGAAGACCAGGACACGCCCCACACGGGGCACCAGGTATGCCGAGGGGCGGCCTGGCGGAGATCTCTCAGCACTTCCTCAGTTTCCTCATCGGGAAAATGGAGAGGATGCTAAAGCTCCTCCTTCAGGAGGCTGTTAGGAGGTCAAGCTCTCATCCAGTGCGGGGCACACAGTGGATGCCCACTACTGGTGGGTCAGCGGCTATGACCAGCATCGCGCTGGCCCCTCCGTGCTGGCCTGGAGGCGCTCAGCATAGGCGAATGGAATAGTTGTGACTGAATCACCGGCATCACAGCTCCCGTTATCAAGGGCTCCCGTGCAAGGAGCTCAAACTCAACAGTAACAAGAGTTCATACCTGCCACAAACAAGCTGTTCGAGTTTTCACGTTGCAGATGAAAAAATGAGGCACAGAAAGGTTAGGCGACTTACCTAAGGTCACAAGGTTGGTGAGAGACGGTCCGTTTCAGGCCAGGTTTGACTGCAGAGCTTACGCCCTATCTACTGATAATCATAACCATTGCTCTACTCAGGTGCTGACTGTGTGCCAGGCACTGTGTGGCCCCTCTTGGGTACCAGCATCATCTATTTTATAGCTGAAGAAACTGAGGCAGAGAGAGATGAGGGGAAGTCTCACAAGTAGTGGAAGTGGGACTTCAACCCTGATCTTTTTCCTCTGTGATGCTGCCACAAGCTGTTTGTGTCCTCCCACCAGGTCCTGGCCCCCTCCCCTGAGGCTGGATGCAGAGCAGTCACCTCCAGCCGCCGGGGGCTTCTCTGGCGCCTCCGAGATAAGCAGTCTCGCCTGGGCCTGTTTGAGATCAGCCCGGGGCATGAACTGCATGGGATGACATGCATGATGCAGGCAGGGCTGTGGGCTGCCACCCAGGTCTCCATGGACCACCCACCCACGGTGAGTGGCCTATCTGTCCCACAAATGTCCACACCAGCAATAGCAAGACGTGGCTGATGCCCTGTCTGGCTAAAACTGCAGGTGTGGGGATCAGAGACGGACATCAAGGGGAGGAAGGCAGAGAGGGAGGAACATTGTGATGTGGGAGCTGGAACGTCTGGGGTGTGTTGGGCGTGTGAGGAACCCCCTGACTCAGGTGGTTGCTGTGTGACTCTGGGTGGGTCTCTGCCTCTCTCTGGGCCTCAGTGTCCCCATCTGTATAATAGGAGGAGATTATACTCCTTGGTTTCTGAGGCCCTCCCAGCCCTGCCAGGGTGTATGGTTGAAAAGGGACCCACCCCCACCCTACTGGCCTGGCCCGTCCTCTCTGGAGCTCAGGCTGAGGCAGGGCTGGCTCAGCAGAAAGGTGGCCCAACTGCAAGCTCAGCAGCTGGGCGGGCCTGGGTGAGCATGTGTGTGGCGTTCGTGCGTGTGCATGTGTGCGCAGTGGGACCACATTCCACAGGCCATATCCGGGCACAGGGACCTGGAGATCCAGGGAGAGTGCAGAGACACGAGGGAGTTCTCTAACTCGAAAACTGACCTCGTCACCTGCTGAAAAGCTTCCATGGCTCCCCAGTACTCAGCATGACCTCCGGATCCAGCTGCATCCAGCCTTGTTCACACTCCATCCCTCCCCGACTGGCTTCAGCCACTTGGGCCCTCCTTCCCTTGCTGGCAGCCACCAGTGCTGTTTCTACTGCTGCGAGTACCCTGCTCCTTCTCTCCACGACCCTCTAGATTTCAGCTTAGAGGTCCCCACCCGCAGGAAGCCTTCTCTGATTTTTCCCCTCCCAGGGTGCATCAGGCAGGTCCCTTGGCTTCAGAGCCATCCCCATGTACTGGACGGAATCTGGCTTCACTTGGCCAGCCTGTGAGTCTGGGAACGTGCCTGGCTTGAACTCATGGCCTGGTGCTGGGGACCCAGAATGGATGAAATACACTCAGGCCTTGCCGTGGGTCACTCTTGTCCCCCTGGCAGCCCTGGGAGGGTGAGCAACGCATCTGCCCAACTCAGGCACTCCCAGAAACAACTCCGTTCCCAGTTTGCTGAAGGAATCAAATTGGAGGAGATGGGGGGCGGGCCAGGTGCAGGACATCTGGAGATCCTGGGGCAGGCAGCAGGGCACTGAGGGGTTTCCCTGAGCTCCTCTACCTCTCCCTGCAGGGGCCACCCTCCCAGGACGATTTCTCGGAGGTCCTAACCCAGGTTCATGAGGTAGGAGGCCCCAGACTCCCATCTGGGGAGGGATGTGTGCTGGTCTTGCTCTCTCCTCTGCAGTTTTCCCATCTGTGCAGTGGGACTGAAGGCTTGTCCCTGAGCCTTGGGCCTTGCAGAAAGGGTGTAGTCACCCTGACCCTCCTGTCCCAGGACCAACTGCACACACCCGGGCCCACGCAGACACTCCAGAGGAGGCTCTTCCTTCCCTGCAGGGCTTCGAGCTGGGCACGCTGGCCGGCCCCGCCTTTGCCTGGCTGCGCCGCTCCCTGGGCCTGGCGGAGGACGACTATCAGGCTGCCCTGGGCCCCGGCGGCCCCTACCTGCAGTTCCTCAGCACCTCCAAGAGCAAGGCCAGCTTCTTCCTGTCGTGAGCTTGCGGCAGGGGTGGGAGTGGTACCCCTGGCTGGGAGGGCAGAATTCCCAGTGGCGGGGAAGGCCGCCTGAAGAGAGAAACAAAGCGGCCCTGATCTGGGAGGGTCAGGGCCGGACGGTGGACAGATGAGAGAGGAGAGGAGTGCGAGGGCCTAAGGCTAGAGGGGCGGTGCCGAGATCTGGTAGCGAGATCCACGTGCACAGGTCGGGGAAGGGGGCCGGGTGAGAGCCGCTCCAGTCAGGCCTGGGCAGTGACCTCTTTCTCTTGCCCCCCAGCCACGACCAGCGCTTCTTCCTGAAGACCCAAGGGCGCCGAGAGGTGCAGGTTCTGCTCGCCCACCTGCCCCGCTACGTGCAGCACCTGCAGCGGCACCCGCACTCGCTGCTGGCGCGGTTGCTGGGTACGCGGCTGGGGGCGGGGCTCGGTGGGGGCCGGTCCTAGGTGGCAATATACCTGGGGAGGGCGGGGTATGTGGGCGGGGCCCAAATGGGCGGATTTGGGGTTGTAGGGCACGGGGTTGGGGACATGCATGGGGGCGGGGCACCACTGGGGTTGGGTTTAGGAGTGGGATCGAGTCGGGATCCGGACCCCAGACAAGGAAGGGTCCGGGTGCCGCAGATGTTGAGAAGGAGGCGTGGCCTGGCGCTGGGACTGGTGCCGGATGCACCCCGGGTCGTGGAGTTTGGGGATCCTCATTCGGCGCCCTCTTCCCTTCCAGGAGTGCACAGTCTGCGGGTGGACCGGGGAAAGAAGGTGGGTGAAGCCAAGGAGAGGTGGCTGGGCGGAGCGGGCGGCTGGAGGGCGACAGCCGGCCTCCCTCACTCCCTGTCCCGGCCCCCAGACGTACTTCATCGTCATGCAGAGCGTCTTCTACCCCGCCGGCCGCATCTCCGAGAGGTGAGTGGCCGAAGCAGGTCTGGTGCCCCACCCTAGCCGAAACTCACCGCCTGAAGCACCCACACTCACTAGCCAGAAGGTGAAACTGAGGCCCAGGAAGGAGAAGGGGCGTTCCCAAGATCTGGTGGGTCGGAGACACTGACGCTTACGCCCAGCATATCTGGAGCACTCAGTGTGCGTTAGGCGCCGTGTTGGGCCCTTCTCATGCTTTTTAATTCCCAGAAGGACGCTGAGGGGCAGCTCTTATCCTCCTTCCTAGATGAGAAACCAAGGAAGGAGAAGACCACACAGCTAACATGTGGGGAGCAGCGACTCAGACCCAGCCTCTGACTGCACGGGTTAGCCCCCTGTGCCCTCCAGCGCTGGCTCTGCCCACAGGTTCCCTGCGCCCCCCGCCCCCCCGACCATTGGCTGCCCGCAGGCCCTCCTGGTGCCTCCGCCTGGGGTTGGATCCCTGTGTCTGGGACACCTTCAGGGGTAACAAGGTGTCCAGAGGCAGGCACAGGCAGGGCTCAAGCCTGGGCTGGGCCTCCAGTGGCCTGAGTGTGAATGCCTGCTCTGCTCTTATCTTTAACTCAGAAACAATTATAGACCAGGGTTCAGCTATAGGGCCGGGCATGGTGGGTCTCGCTCGTAATCACAGCACTTTGGGAGGCCAAGGCAGGAGGATTACTTGAACCCAGGAGTTGGAGACCACCCTGGGCAATATAGTGAGACCCTTCCTCTACAAAAAACGAAAAAATTAGCTGGGTGTGGTGGCATGTGCCTGTAGTCCCAGACACTTGGGAGGTTAAGGTGGGAGGATTGCTTGAGCCCAGGTGGTCAAGGCTTTAGTGAGCCGTGTTTGTTTCACTGCACTCCAGCCTGGTTGACAGAGTAAGACCTTCTCTAAGAAAAGAAAGAAGCAGGTGAGATTCCATCTCAAAAAAAAAAAAGGAAGGAAGGAAGGGAAAGAAAGGAAAGAAAGAAAAGAAAGAAAGAGAGAGAAAGAGAGAGAAAGAGAGAAAGAAAGAAGAAAGAAAGAGGAAGGAAGAAGAGAAAGAAAGAAAGAGAGAGAAAGAGAGAGAAAAAGAAAGAAAGAAAGAGGAAGGAAGAGAAAGAGAGAGAGAGAGAAAGAAAGAAAGAAGGAAGGAAGATAAAGAGAGAGAAAGAAAGAGAGAAAGAGAGAAAGAAAGAGAGAAACAGAGAGAAAGAGAAAGAGAGAAAGAAAGAAAAAAGAAAGAGGAAGGAAGGAAGAGAAAGAAAGAGAGAGAAAGAAAGAGAGAAAAAGAAAGAAAAAGGAAGGAAGAGAAAGAAAGAAAGAGAAAGAAAAAAGAAAGAAAGGAGAAGGAAGATAAAGAGAGAGAGAGAAAGAAAGAAAGAAAGAGAGAAAGAGGGAGAGAAAGAAAGAGAAAGAGAGAAAGAAAGAAAGAAAGAGGAAGGAAGAGAAAGAAAGAGAAAGAAGGAAGGAAGATAGAAAGAAAGAGAAAAAAGAAAGAAAAAGAAAGAGAGGAAGGAAGAGAAAGAAAGAGGAAGGAAGGAAGAAAGAAAAGAAAGAAAGAAAAAGAAAGAAAGGAAGGAAGGAAGGAAGGAAGAATGAACGGCCAGGGTTGTGCTGAGGACTGGGGATGATCTATGTAATAGTTCAGTGCACATAAGTAGTCACTGGAAGCTCTTGTGAGATTCTCTGTGTGTCTCAAATCTATATAAGCTGAATTCTGTCACCTCATTCAGGTATGACATCAAAGGCTGCGAGGTGAGCCGCTGGGTGGATCCCACCCCTGAGGGCAGCCCCATTGTTCTGGTGCTGAAGGACCTCAACTTTCAGGGCAAGACCATCAAGCTGGGTGAGTCACGGGAGTGGTCACTGCCTGCCCCTCCTTCATTCAGGGTGAAGTTTAGAAGGGTGTCCCTGCTGCCCTCTGCCTGAGTCATTAAGAGCCCAGTTTCTGCTGGGCACGGTGGCTCATGCCTGTAATCCCAGCACTTTGGGAGGCCAAGATAGGTGGATCACGAGGTCAGTAGTTCAAGACCAGCCTGGCCAAGATGCTGAAACCCCATCTCTACTAAAAACACAAAAATTAGCAGGGCATGGTGGCACATGCCTGTAATCCCAGCTATTCAGGAGGCTGAGGCAGGAGAATCGCTTGAATCCAGGAGGCAGAGGTTGCAGTGAGCTGAGATGGCACCACTGCACTCCAGCCTGTGCAACAGAGCAAGACTCCGTCTCAAAAAATAAAATAAAAATAAGAGTCCAGATTCTGGAATCAGGCAGAGCAGAGTCCATGACTTCCTAGCTAGGTGACCAAGGCAAATTGCAGATGAATTTCTTTATTTGTGAGATGGGGACAGTAATGCCACATGCTGTCACGGGGCAGACTGTGTGGAGCACCGTGGCTGGCGCATGATGAGCGCTCAGGTTGGGGCACTGATGCTCCGGCAGGGCCCCAGCGGAACTGGTTCCTCCGCCAGATGGAACTGGACACCACCTTCCTCCGGGAGCTCAATGTGCTGGATTATAGCCTCCTGATGGCCTTCCAACGTCTCCACGAGGATGAGAGGGGCCTGGGCAGCAGCCTCATCTTCCGTACGGCCAGGTGAGCCCCCCACAGGGGCAACAGCGAGATTGAGGTGGTGAGAGTAAAGGAAAGACAGACATGGGGGCGTGGGAGTGCCTTCCCTCTGCCGGGAGCAGTGCAGCCAAAGACACGAAGGCTGGAAAGTGCAGAGTTTGTGTGTGTGTATGTGCATGTGTGTGTGCGCGCGCATGTGTGCATATGTATGTGTGCGTGCGTGTGCGTGCATGCATGGGTGTGTGTGCGTGCGTGCGTGTGTGTGTAGAGGGGAGGGCTGGAGAAGCCTAGCTGGTAGGGCAGGAGGGGCACAGGTGGACTGCAGCAGGGGACAGAACAAATGAAGTCCACTTGGAGAAGAGCTTTGGTGATTATTTGAAGAATCTGCCCATTTTCCAATGGGGCTGTGGAACCATTGAAGGTTTCAGAGCAGAGAAAAAGACCTATTTTTAAATTAAAAAAAAATTTTTTTTTAAAAGACCTATTTTTAATTTTTTTAATTTTTGCTTTTTTTTTTTTTTGAGATGGAGTTTTGATCTGTCACCCAGGCTGGAGTGCAGTGGTGCCCTCTTGGCTCACTGTAACCTCTGCCTCATGGATTCAAGTGATTCTCCTTCCTCAGCCTCCTGAGTCTGGGATTACAGACACCCACCACCATGCCTGGCTAATTTTTTTTTTTTTTTTTTGAGATGGAGTCTTACTCTGTTGCCCAGAGTAAGACTGGAGTGCAGTGGAGTGCAGTGGCACAATCTTGGCTCACTGCAACCTCTGCCTCCCGGGTTCAAGCAGTTCTCCCTCCCTCAGCCTCCTGAGTAGCTGGGATTACAGGCACACACCAGCATGCCTGGCTAATTTTTGTATTTTTATTAGAGATGGGGTTTCACCAAGTTGTCCATGCTGGTCTTGAACTCCTGACCTCAGGTGATCCACCTGCCTCTGCCTCCCAGAGTGCTGGGATTACAGGTGTGAGCCACAGCACCCGGCCAATTTTTGTATTTTTAGTGGAGAAGGGATTTTGCCATGTTGACCAGGCTGGTCTTGAACTCCTGAACTCAAGAGATTCATCTGTCTCAGCCTCCCAAAGTGTTGGGATGACAGGCATGAACCACCGCGCCCAGCCTAATTTTTGCTTTAAAGGGTCCTTGCCCTTTAAGCTGGTCATTCTACTTCCAGGACCCTGAGGTCATCATCGTTGGCACCGTCTTCCCATCCTCATCTCAGTAGTGGTAACTGTCACTCCTTCATGCTGACCGGGAGCCTCACTGGGAGGGTAGACTCATCCCCATTTGAGAAATGTGAGAACTGAGGCTCGGGAGGGGGACATGAGGTTGCAGAATGACTTCTGAGGACTCATGTTAGTACTTGACCAGCTACTTCCATTTCTGTTCCCTCAGACCCACTCCTGAGATCGAACAGAATTACATAGGGGCTAAGACAGGCACTCCACTGATCCAGTGGGTGGACAAGGGGAGTGAAGGAGGAGGTCCGCTCATCCAGCCGCCACCCCTCTCATCCCGTGCCTTGTTCCTTCCCCTCAGAGGAAGAACTTGGGATGGGTGAGGCTTGGGTAGAATTTGGAGTCATGGCTCCTCAAGCAGTCTGTGGCTAGGCTGGACATGTCCTGACCGGATGGTGGCAAGCCTGCCATGGGGCACAGAGCCTCCCACATCTGTGCATCCAAGCGAGGTCAGCTTCTCCCTTGCCTTCTCCCCCTAGCTGGTGCTTAGGCCACCACTGTCATTCAGTCAGTGATTCCTGGTTTGCATGGAATTGCTGTGACATTGAAATATTTTTATGTTGGCTGTCCCAGCCCCACCCCCACCCAGTTCCCAGCCCCTACTCAGAACTTCCCCATCCCGCATCTCCCCATCATCCAGGTAGCCCACAGGGTACGAGCATTCTGCTCAGACTCTCGGACCACCGAGTTCTGATTGGCTAGCGCGGGCAGGGCTTTTTTCTCATTGGTATATTTACCCCCAGACCCAGACAGGACAGGATTAAAGCCCCTCAGCGATGCCTGAGGACAAAGTTAGGGAACTGAACCTGCTTCTGCTGGGACTGGGCGCCCCGCCAAAGGTACCTTCTGGTATGAAATATATTTTGACGCAAAATCATACACGCACCTTCTGCAAACTGGGGTTGCTGGATTTTGTTCACAAAACTTCTGCTCGGCGACCCTGAGACTTCTAGGGTTGGATGACTCCAAACAGAAATTTAGGAAATAGACTTACTTGAAGTCATGTGGCACCACATTTCAAGGCTCAGTGGCCACCTATGGCCAATTTCTAAGTACTGAACAGTGCAGCTCTAGCCCAACACTTTGACTTTTCTCATCTACCTGACTTCACAAACCTAGGCACACAGGAGGTGTGGGAATGAGCTGGTGGAGGGGTGGGCAGCCTGGCCAGGCTTGCAGAGCCAACTGGCTGGGGCTTCCTGGAGGAGGTGGCAGCTTCATCCTCCTGTCGGTCCCCAGGTCTGTGCAAGGGGCACAGAGCCCGGAAGAGTCGGGGGTCCAAAACCGTCGGCTGCTGCCCGACGCCCCCAACGCCCTACACATCCTGGACGGGCCCGAGCAGCGCTATTTCCTGGGCGTCGTGGATCTTGCCACGGTCTACGGGCTCCGCAAGCGGCTGGAGCACCTGTGGAAGACACTGCGCTACCCGGGCCGGACCTTCTCCACTGTCAGCCCGGCTCGCTACGCCCGTCGCCTCTGCCAGTGGGTGGAGGAGCACACAGAGTGACGGGCGCCCGGACCCACTTTCCGGATCTGGATGGTGGGCTCACGCCAGGAACACCGGTTCCCTTGGGCCCGAGCATCTCGCCTGCGCTTCCTCCTGATGGTCGCCAGAGGGCAGCATCCCCTAACTAATACCGTAACCGCGCAGCCCCGTTTGACGGTGGTGCCGTGCCCAGCGTCATGCCAAGGATTCCCCTACTTTAGCTCATTTAGTCCTTAAAAAAATGCTATTATTCTCTTTTTACAGACCATGAAATGGAGGCTCAGGGGGTGAAGGGACTGACCAAGATCATTCAGCAATAAATGCTGGAACCAGGACTCAACCATGACTTTTGGATTCCGGAGCCTGTATTCTTTTTTTTTTTTTTTTTGAGACGGAGTCTTGCTCTGTCACCCAGGCTGGAGCGCAGTGGCCGGATCTCGGCTCACTGCAAGCTCCGCCTCCCGGGTTCACGCCATTCTCCTGCCTCAGCCTCCCGAGTAGCTGGGACTACAGGCACCCGCCACCTCGCCCGGCTAGTTTTTTGTAATTTTTAGTAGAGACGGGGTTTCACCGTGTTAGCCAGGATGGTCTCGATCTCCTGACCTCGTGATCCGCCCGTCTCGGCCTCCCAAAGTGCTGGGATTACAGGCTTGAGCCACCGCGCCCGGCAGGAGCCTGTATTCTTAACCACCAGCTCCTGCAGCTTGGTCCTCATGATCTGGGCAAGGGGGGAGGCTGAAGGGTGCAGCCCTCTTGTCCAGATGGGGAAACTGAGGCCCAGAGACTTTAAGGGGCTTATGCACCGGTAAGTGGCAAGGTCAGCCCCGAGTACCCAGGCCTCCCGACCCCCTGCTCCTGGCCCGATACTCTAGGGATGCAGGTGGGGGAAGCTGGGGTCCTGGGGGGCTGCCTGAAGCTCTGGGAGGCATTCTGAACGGCGTCTACTGTTGATCTGAAGTGAGCTCTGCCCTTCTCTGAAAGTCACTTTTCTCATCAGTGAAATGGGGGCAAGGGTCCATGGTCAGACCAAGGTCTTGGCTGCACAGACATCACCGGGAGCCTGCATGGCCCCTGATCACTCCTTCTCCTTCCTCCAGGAAACTCCAGCCTGGCCTCTGACCCCAGTTCAATCTGACCATGCCCAAGCCCAAGCGGGCCTTTCCTCCAGAGCTGCTCCAGGGCCTGGCTGTGTGACTGGGGCAAGGTGCTAAACCTCTCTGTGCCTCGCTGGTCTAATCTGTAAAACGAAAGAATGGAAACAGACCTCATTAACTCATTAAATATTTGCTGAGCACCTGCCATGTGACAGGCCCTCTGCTGGGTAATGGGGACCTGGGGATGAAGCAAGTGGCACAGATTCTGCCTTCATGGAATTCGCGGAACTCACAGTCTGGGGGAAGGGACCGCTACCCGATCATTTGATGGATAGTGTTGGGGGAAGGGCTTTAACTTCTCCACTGAGACCAGAGAAGAGTTTGACACGTCCCTAGGAGGGTCCCAAGTTAACAGCACAGCAAGGGCCTGGGGTGAGAGAAGGAAAACATTTCCGAGTGGGAGGAGGCCACGTGGGCCAAGAGTGGACCCCCAGGATTGGACAGTGCAGGACCTCGGGGAAGCCATTCAGCTGCAATGCACACTGCCACTCCACTGACCCATCAGATCCCACCAAAGAAAGATGGCTGAGGGGCGAGGCATGGTGGCTCACGCCTGTAATCCCAGCACTTTGGGAGGCCAAGGTGGATGGATCACTCGAGGTCAGGAGTTTGAAACCAGCCTGGCCAACATGGTGAAACCTCGTCTCTACTAAAAATACAAACATTAGCCAGGTGTGGTGGCGGGCACCTGTAGTCCCAGCTTCTTCGGAGGCTGAGGCAGAAGAATTCCTTGAACCCAGGAGGCAGAGGTTGCCGTGAGCCGAGATGGCACCACTGCACTCCAGCCTGGGCAACACACAAGACTGTGTCTCAAACAAAACAACAACGAAAAAAGAAAGATGGCTGAGGGGGAAGCGGGAGGGAAGAGAGAGCTCTGGCTGCAGGGTTCCTGGAATATTTGGTTTTTGGGTTTTTTGGAGACAGGGTCTCCCTCTGTCACCTATGCTTGAGTGCAGTGGCATGGATTACAGCTCACTGCAGCCTCCTGGGCTCAAGTGATCCTCCCACCTCAACCTCCCAAGTAGCTGGGACTACAGGCATGTGCCATCACACCTGGCCACTTTTATTTTATTCTGCAGAGACAAGGTCTCGCCATATTGCCCAGGCTGATCTTGAACTCCTGGGCTCCAGCAATTCGCCCAGTTTGATCCTCCCAAAGTGTTGGGCCCACAGGCATGAACCACTGCACTTCACCAGAATATAGGTACTTTAAATATTGATATCACTCCTAGTTGGCTGGGTGACCTTGCCTGATTTCTCAACCTCTCTGTGCTGGCATGAGCTGAGTGGAAATTTCTTGTTCTTGCTTTAGCAGGAAGTTGTGACATAGAGTGTGTCATGCCCATCACTCAGGAGGTGATGGACCAGGGAAACTCAGAGGTGGCAGGGAATTGCAACAGGAACTAGAGTCTGACTCCACATTTCCACCCGTCTGGATCCCACAGGGCTGAGTCAGTGCCACAGAGTCCTGCTGTCACGCATAAGGATGACTCAGCCGCTCTCCACCTTTGGGTCTCTGGCCATGAGCCTAGCCGGGACCTCAGGCTGGAGAGGAAAGTGATTTGTTCAAGAACTCATGGGACCCAGGCTCTCCTAACTCATGCATTGATAGACGTGACCTAGCACCTAGTGTGTGCTGGGCACTGTGCAGGTGTGGAGGTGCCCTGGCCCACATGGAGCTTAGAGTCTGTGGGGCAGGTGGACCATAAACAAGGCAACCAGTTAATACACAGGGCAATTTCAGAGTGTGACAACCACTATGAAAAACTGAGTTGGGGTGAGGCAAGAGGGATGGGGGTGCAGTGTCGGCTGGGTGGCTGGCAAGGGCTTTTCAGAGGAGGTGATGCTTCAGCTGAATGACAAGAGGAGCCACTCTATGACTAGCGCCGTCCAGCAGAGGACACAGTGAGTGCAAAGGTCCTGCAGTAGGAATGGCTTCAGTATGATTGGAGGTCGGAGGGTGGCCAGGGTCGGTGGAGGCTGACTGAAGGAGTTCACCCCATGTAGGATCCTGTAGGTTGTGGTAAGCAGAGTAGGTTTTTGCCAAAAGCAAAGTGAAGATGTTTCTCTGGGGCTGTGGGACTTCCTGGTCACAGTTCCACTGTAGTCTTATGATCCTCATCTCCCCTGGGAGCCCGGACCATTTGGGCATGCTGCTGTCTCCATGTGGCCCTAGCAAGGGTGGAGTTGCCTCTCTGGGGAAGGAATCATCATCTCACCAGCCATTGTGGGCAGTGTGTGAATCCATAGGGAAATTCTCACCATTGTGCCCTCAGGGTTGGGCCTATGAGCAAAGAAACTTGAGGAATGAGGACTGAGAAGGAAGGGCTCTGGCTTTGGGGACACACTGCCTTGTGTGAGTGAGGAGCCATGGTGACTGAGGGTGAACCACTACTCCCCACGTGTGTCCAGGCTGGAGTGGCAGAGACAGGAGAGTTTGTGCTCAAAGGAGGCCCCTGGGGGGCAGGGCCACTACAGCAGCCCTCCTTCCAGCCCCTGGACAGGCACTGAGTCCTACAGCACCAGGCCCAGGGGTGATATGGCTTTGAATCTAGAGCAGGGTAGACTGGGAAGGTTGCTGAGCTGGGGACAGATACCCTGGCATCCAGCCCAGGCCTGAGCCTCTGAGAAAAAGGAAAAAGGAGTTTGAAATGGAGACCAGGGAAGGAGCCCAAGCTGGTTCCCAGGCCAGCACCCTGCAGAGGAGGTGGGTGTGGCGGGGATGGGGAGATGATCTTTCTGGCCAATGCAATATTTGCCAAAAAAAAAAAAAATCATAAACAAGGGCCGGGCGTGGTGGCTTACGCCTGTAGTCCTAGCACTTTGAGAGGCTGAGGCAGGCAGGTCACTTGAGGTCAAGAGTTTGATACCAGCCTGGCCAACATGGTGAAACCCTGTCTCTACTAAAAATACAAAAGTTAGCTGGAAATTGCTTGAACCCGGGAGGCGGAGGTTGCAATGAGCCAAGACGGTGCCACTGTACTCCAGCCTGGGCAACAGAGACTCTGTCTCAAAAAAAAAAAAAAAAAAGCTTAGACAGGAAGTGTGCCCTCTCACTTCCCCATAGGCCCACCCCTTCTACCGTCCCAGTGCTTTCTGCCACCAGCCTGGCGCCTGAAGGCAGTTGCCTCTGAGATCCCAAGGGACCCCAATAAGACACACTGCAGCATCTGCCCGGGGCCTGGACTAACTTGACTTGGATTTGGAGGACATTCCAGCGAGGGAGCCTTTGAGAGGTAAGAGTAGGTGGTCACAGCCCCGGGTCTGGAGTGAAACTGCCTGGGTTCGAATCTTGGCTGTGACAGGAGCTGCTTCTGCACGTGGGTCTCAGAGGAGAAAAACAGGCTCAGCTGAATGTCACACTGACATAATCATAATAAAATAATCATATTGAAAATAATTTATGTATTCGTTGTTTGTCTGAATTTCCAGTGTCACTGGGCATTCTGTATCTTACTTGATAAATCCAGCAACCCTACCAGTTGAAACGTGGACTGCCTGACCCGAAGCCCCGCTTAATTTCCCTGCCCAACCACCATTTCAGAAATGGAGACATTCAAGTCCGGACAACCAGGCCGCCACTGCCCGGTGGCCCCCGACACACTCTAGGTCTCTTTTCCCTGCGGCCCGACAGCCTCGCCCAGGCAGGAGCCTGCTGGAAATGCGGAGGACAGAAAAGGCAGATGCTGGTACTCAGACTCCGCCCCGGCTCCGAAGCCCCGCCCCCGGTCCTGAGGCCCCGCCCCTAGCTGGAGGCCTCGCCGCCAGCCATTCACGTCCCGCCCCGTCCCGGCCGCGCAGAGCCCTCCCCAGGTCGCGCAGGCTGCGCTCGTAGGATCCGCCTGCGGCGCGCAGGCCCCGCCCCAGGCGCGCGAGTCTCCGCCCGTCCTCGCCGGCCCCGGCCCCGCCCCCTGCCTCTGGCCGCTCGGATCAGCTTCCAGTCCGGTCGGCCCGGCCCGGGGGCCATGGAGCTCCGAGCAGCGGATCGCGAGCCTCCTGCGAACCCCAGCCTCCACGCCCGGTTAGCACCCGGCCGGGAGATGAGGCAGTGGAATCTGGAAGGGCGGTGAAAATCCCACGTCCTGCCCTCCCCCGGCCTCTCCATTCGTCCCCCGGGTAGAGAGGTAGGATGGATGGGGTGGAATTCCGGGCTTCTGGCTCTCTCTGCCCCAGACCCGATTGGTGACCTTGAGCTGGGGGTGCCCCCTGGCTGCCTCTTGGGTTGGCAGGAGGTCTCGCAGAGGTCGCTGAGTCCTGCTCCTTTAGGATGGGGACATTGCCTTCCGGTGTTTGGAGACGTCAAGGGGTTGGATTCCCGGGCGCTATGTGCTTTCACCCGGCCTGTACCCTCCCCTGCCTCAGTTTCCCCGATAGCCTAGAACCTCATCTGCCTTACCCCTCCCGGCTCTGAGTTTCTGGGTCTTGGCAGGTGCCCGGCTCCCACCCCTTCCCAGCCCCAGCCCTGGAGACAGCAGCCCCTAGACTACCGAGGGACAGCGACAGCATGAAGGCTCCGGTAAGTGGTGGAAGAAGGAGGACTTCCAGGGAACGCAGAGACCCCGACCGGCGAAGCAGCTCAGCAGCCTCTCCACCCCAGGACCCACTGCCACTTCTGACCTCCCTGCTGCCGAGCAGAGAAGGGCAGAATGGCCTCAAAGTCCAGCCCTCTGTGTGGCCCCAGGCCGGTGGCATCCCTTCTGTGGTGTCAGTACCTTGCTATCCCTGTAAAACGGAGGTAACACTACGAGCTAACCAGGCAAGGCCTACCTGGGACTGGGGGTGTGAAAGTTCAGTTCAGCCGCTCTTGTCTTTACCACAGAAGCCCCGGGTTGTGGGAGAGAGACAGCTGGATGTGGGGGGCAGTTCATCTCGACTGCCTGAGTCAAGGTCTCTGGTTCCTCATGGGCAGGGGAGCAGGTGCCAGGCAGAACTACCTCCCCTGCACAGCTGGCCACACAGAAAAGACTTATTTTTAGAAGCCGACGGACGTAGTTTGCGGGCAGAAAATGGTGGGCCTCGGGCAGGATGCGCTGGGGTGGGTGAGGGTGATGGGGTAGGGGGTGGGGGCGACTTGCCCACTTCTGATTTTCAGAGAGCACCAGCCAACGGCTCGGTGGCTTCTGAAGGGTGGCCTAGGGACTTGTGCCTCGAGTCTAGAAAACTGGAGCCCAGAGAGACACAGGTGGTGACCAGGGTGGACTGCTACCCAGTGACTAGCCTACAGTTCTGCTGCCACCAAGCCCCTCCCCTCCTGGGAGGCTTGGTGGTGCCAAGCCCCTCCCCTCCTGGGAGGCTTGGTGGTGGTGGAGGCATTCACTAAGTCTGCCAGGAGGGCAGCCCCAGGCTGGGCCTAGCCCGGATGGCTAGAAGAGCTTCCTGGTTCCAACGGCCTTTGGAACATGGTTTCTGGAGGCAGGAGCCTCCAGGCACCAGCTTTTCAATTATTATTATTATTTTTTTTTTTTTTGAGACAGAGTCTCGCTCTGCTGCCCAGTCTGGAGTGCAGTGGCGTGATCTTGGCTCACTGCAAGCTCCGCCTCCCGGGTTCATGCCATTCTCCTGCCTCAGCCTCCCGAGTAGCTGGGACTACAGGCGCCCGCCACCTCGCCCGGCTAGTTTTTTTGTATTTTTTAGTAGAGACAGGGTTTCACCGTGTTAGCCAGGATGGTCTCGATCTCCTGACCTCGTGATCCACCCGTCTCGGCCTCCCAAAGTGCTGGGATTACAGGCTTGAGCCACCGCGCCCGGCCCAGCTTTTCAATTATTAAAGCCATTTCCTAAATGACATTTGCTCCAATCTCCTTGTGCCACCTGGCCTGCTGATCATCAGACGGCCACTGAGTCAGCTGGGGGTGGGGCGGAGGCAGGGCCACACTAGGCAGCCCTGGTCCTAGGCTGAAGGGGCTGGTGACCCTTCTGAGGCACCACTTTCCCGTTGTCATGTGCACAGCACTTTGCAGTATACAGAACGCTTTCACTGCCCCTCCCGTAAGTTCACACGGTAGACGTTATCAGTCTCCAGTTTGTAGAGGAGGAAACAGGCCCAGAGGGATGGAGAGCCACAGCTCACACAGTACACCCCAGCCTCCAGTCAGGAATATGGGCTTTCCAGCCTGTATTTAAGGCCCCACTGTGGTGCTTCTTTGCTATATAGCCTTGTACTACTCACTTCACCCCGAATTGCTTTCCTTATCTAGAAGGTGGGGATAATGACAGTGGTATCTCCAGGGCCTTATGTGCCCAGAACTTGGCATCCCTGGGTAAGGCCCAATGGGTGGAGACCAGATTCTGCTGCTGTTCTAGGAGCTGCTCTAGACCCAGGAGGCCAGGTGCAGCGCTGAAGGGGCTTCTGGGAGCCCCTCCCCACATACACCCGCCCATGGCCACTGTCTCCCTCAGGGACGGCTCGTGCTCATCATCCTGTGCTCTGTGGTCTTCTCTGCCGTCTACATCCTCCTGTGCTGCTGGGCCGGCCTGCCCCTCTGCCTGGCCACCTGCCTGGACCACCACTTCTCCACAGACTCCAGGCCCACCGTGCCAGGCCCCTTGCACTTCAGTGGATATAGCAGTGTGCCGGATGGGAAGGTAAGTGGGCCAGGCAATGCATCTGGGGTGGGTAGTGACAGCTGGGCTTGTCCCAAACTGGACCTTGAACTTGGCCCCTCTGCTCACCAGCCATGTGATCCTGGCCAATCATGTCACCTCTCTGAGCCCTAGGTTCTTTTTTTTTTTCTTTTTCTTTTTTTTTTTGAGACGGAGTCTTGTTCTGTTGCCCAGGCTGGAGTGCAGTGGTGCGATCTCGGCTCTGAGCCCTAGGTTCTAAGAGGAATTTTTTTTTTTTTTTTTTTGAGATGGAGTTGTGCTCTTGTTGCCCAGGCTGGAGTCCAATGGCACGATCTCGGCTCACCGCAACCTCCGCCTCCCGGGTTCAAGGGATTTTCCTGCCTTAACCTCCCGAGTAGCTGGGATTACAGGCATGCGCCACCACACCTGGCTAATTTTGTATTTTTAGTAGAGATGGGGTTTCTCCATGTTGGTCAGGCTGGTCTCGAACTCCCAACCTCAGGTGATCTGCCTGCTTTGGCCTTTCAAAGTGCTGGGATTACAGGCGTGAGCCACCGTGCCCAGCCAAGAAATTATTTTTTGTTTGTTTGTTTGTTTGAGAGAGAGAGAGAGTCTCACTCTGTCACCCAGGCTGGAGTGCAGTAATGCGATCTCAGCTCACTGCAGCCTCAGCTCACTGCAACCTCCACGTCTCGGGTTCAAGTGATTCTCATGCTTCAGCCTCCCGAATAGCTCACCGGTTCTTGCCCGTCTCGTCCTGGAAGATCTGGTCACAGTAGGCCCTCATGCGCTCAGTGAAGGTGTACACCTGCAGGCCGGGGTACATCCGGGTGAGCTGCAGCAGTGTGCGGTAGGTGCGGCCGCCGAGCACCCGGTCCATGTGCCTGCCCTAGCCCTGCCCTGGGACTACAGGCGTGTGCCACCACACCTGGCTAATTTTTAGAGATGGGGTTTCACCATGTTGGCTAGGCAGGTCTTGAACTCCTGATCTCAAGCGCTCCACCCACCTCAGCCTCCCAGAGTGCTGGGATTACAGGTGTGAGCCACCGTGCCCGGCCAGATGTTGTTTTCTTTTTCTTTTTCTTTTGCATTTATATTTATTTATTAAATATAATTTATTAAATATAAATTATTTATTTATTTTAGACAGGATCTCACTCTATCAACAGGCTGGAGTGCAGTGGCACGATCTCGGCTCACTGCAACCTCCGCCTGCCAGATTCAAGGGGTTCTCCTGCCTCAGCCTCCTGAGTAGCTGGGATTACAGGAGTGTGCTACCACGCCCAGCTAATTTTCGTGTTTTTGGTAGAGATGGGGTTTCGCCATGTTGGCCAGGCTGGTCTCGAACTCCTGACCTCAGGTGATCCACCCACCTCGGCCTTCCAAAGTGCTGGGATTACAGGTGTGAGCCACGGCTCCCGGCCCAGATGTTTTCTTCCCCATTTTACAGATGAGAGACTTGAGGCTCACAGAGGCCAGTGACTTGGCCTCAGGCCACATAGCTAGGAGGGGGCAGAGCCAGGATTCAGGCTCAGGACCAGGGAGTCCCACAGTTGTCCTGGGCACTGACGACCCTGCTTTTACTTGGAAACTGGGCACAGTGTGGGTGAGGCATGCGCAGGGGAGGGGGTGGCCTAAGAATGACTCTGAAGAACTGAGGTTCACGTTTACTTCACAAATACTTACATGACCTCCAGTCTGTGCCAGCCACTGTTCTAAGTGTTTTATAAATATTTGCTCAAGCAAACCTCATAAGAACTTATTATGTAGAAACAGTTAGGGCCTCAGAGGCAGCCACAGGAATGAGGACCACAAATATGGCTGATGAGGAAGTTGGGGGGCTGAGTGCAGAACCTTAGCTCTGACACTGGATATCACTGTGATCTGGGAAAGTCATCCCTGCTGCCCAGCCTGCAAAATGGGTTAATAACAGTCCTTCGAGCCAATACCTGATCAAATAAGGTTGGTGGATATTCCTGGGGGAGGCGCAGGGGGTGTAAGCTGCACGCTCATGCCTCTCTGTCTCTTTCTCCCTGCCTGCCCTGCAGCCGCTGGTCCGCGAGCCCTGCCGCAGCTGTGCTGTGGTGTCCAGCTCGGGCCAGATGCTGGGCTCAGGCCTGGGTGCTGAGATCGACAGTGCCGAGTGCGTGTTCCGCATGAACCAGGCGCCCACCGTGGGCTTTGAGGCGGACGTGGGCCAGCGCAGTACCCTGCGTGTCATCTCACACACAAGCGTGCCGCTACTGCTGCGCAACTACTCACACTACTTCCAGAAGGCCCGAGACACGCTCTACGTGGTGTGGGGCCAGGGCAGGCACATGGACCGGGTGCTCGGCGGCCGCACCTACCGCACGCTGCTGCAGCTCACCCGGATGTACCCCGGCCTGCAGGTGTACACCTTCACTGAGCGCATGATGGCGTACTGCGACCAAATCTTCCAGGACGAGACGGGCAAGAACCGGTGAGCCTGGGGCCTGCCTGCTGGGGTCTCCCTGGCAGCTGGGGACCTTCATTCTCTGCAAGTCTCTTGTCCATCAGGGCTCTGCTCTGTCAGGCCCGGGAGGTCAGCACTCATGGAGGCAGACATGGTCCTGCCCTCTAATGGGGGGCAGGAGGCAGAGGGGATGTCACTCAGGAAACTGTCACACAGATCTAGAATCCCAAATGGTGTTGAGGGCTATCAGGCCTTTTGAGCACCCGACGGGAAGCACGGGGCAGTGTGTGGAGGGGCATGAGGGAGCGCTTCTCTCTGGAGGGAATGGTCTGTCTAACTTGGTCTCTGATATCCCTTCTGGATAATAAAAGTTAGAGGCCGGGTGCGGTGGCTTACGCCTGTAATCCCAGCATTTTGGGAGGCCAAGGCGGGAGGATCACTTGAGGTCAGGAGTTTGAGGCCGGCCTGTCCAACATGGTGAAACCCCGTCTCTACTAAAAATACAAAAATTAGGGCCAGGCGTGGTGGCTCATGCCTGTAATCCCAGCACTTTGGGAGACCCAGGTGGGAGGATCACAAAGTCAAGAGATCAAGACCACCCTGGCCAACATGGTGAAACCCCGTCTCTACTAAAAATATAAAAATTAGCCAGGTGTGATGGCGCATGCCTGTAATTCTAGCTACTCAGGAGAGTAGCTGAGGCAGGAGAATCATTTGAACCTGGAAGCAGAGGTTGCAGTGAGCCAAGATCACGCCACTGCACTCCAGCCTGGGTGACAGAGTGAGACTCTGTCGCAAAAAGCAAAACAACATAGAGCAATAACAGCCCTCTTTGCTCACCAGGCACTGGGTGAAGCACTCTGCATTCAAGGTTTCATTTTATGTCATACCCAAAAGCGCACTCATGACTCTTGCCGGTCCCTCCTCCACACACCTGCTCCTCTACCGGCCTCTGTGCTCAGGAGATAGAACAGTCAGCCTCTGGTGTATCCACCAGAAAATTGGGCTCTGCCTCTGACTCCCCTTGTACCATCATCTGCCACATACAATGGCCCATGGCTGCCACCTTGACCTAAGCTGCAGGCTTCCCACCCCCACCACTCCTGGCCTGCCTGCCCTGTGTGATCCTGCCCCTGCCTGCCTCTGTGACCTTGTGTCTCCTTCAGTCTCTCTGTTCTACCCATACTGGCTATCTGGGGCTCAGACATCCATGCCTATTTCTACCTGTAGTCCTTTGCACCTGCCATTCCCTCTCCCTGGAATATTCTCCCAGATCTTCCCATGACAGGCTCCTCTTGCTACTCAGGTCACCTCCTCAGGGAAGCCCGCTCTTACCACCCCATCTGAAGGAGTGCCTCCCGCCCTGGCATTCTTTTTTTTTTTTTTTTTTTTCGCTCTGTTGCCCAGGCTGGAGTGCAGTGGCGCGATCTCGGCTCACTGCAAGCTCCGCCTCCCGGGTTCACGCCATTCTCCTGCCTCAGCCTCCCATGTAGCTGGGACTACAGGCACCCGCCACCACGCCCGGCTAATTTTTTGTATTTTTAGTTCACTGTGTTAGCCAGGATGGTCTCGATCTCCTGACCTTGTGATCCGCCTGCCTTGGCCTCCCAAAGTGCTGAGATTACAGGCATGAGCCACCGCGCCCGGCTACCCTGGCATTCTTTATCCATTCCTTTGTTTCCTTGTCTTGGCAGCAGGTGTCACCCTCTGCCATCATCTTGCTTATAGATTTGTCTCCTAGCTACTTGTTTATCTATTTGTCTCCTTCCCTTGGGAATGTTAGCACCAGATGAGGCAGGTTCAGGGCCAGCACAGGGCCTGGGTGGGGCCCAGTTTGAATGAATGAACCAGTTCATACCTGCCCTGTAGAGGTCAAGGGCGGTGGCCCTTGGCTGGGAGGGTACCCAGGGCTGCTGCCTCCAGAGAGCTGAGGCTGGGGCCACCACCTAGCCCCTGACTCCAAGTGGAGCATGGGGACATGGGGCAGGGTCTGGGCTGACAGTGTTCCCTCCCTATAACTCCTAGAATTGTCTCCACTTCACAGACCGGTCATGAGGCTCAGAGAGGTTCACGAGCAAATGTGATGCCCATAGCAGAGCCAGGGTTCAAGTGGAAGATCCCTGGACTCTAGACAACCCCGCCCAACTTCAAACCTCGGTGCCCTGCTGCTTCCTGCTGTCTCCCCAGGCCTGGTCCCTTAGATGAGGAGAGGACATGGCCAGAGCCCCTACACCCATCATCCAGGGGTTTGCTCAAACCCTGCAAAACGTAACTGGGCCGAGGTCCCGCTGGGTGCTGAGGAGGTGATCAGGCCTGGGTTTGTGTGCCGTTCTGCCTGTCACCCACTGCTGGCCTTGGACTGGCTCTGCCCCCTCCCCAGCCTCCCCCAGGGTCCCCCACAAGAGGTTGAGGTGCGTAGCCCTGGACTGGGAAAATACCGAGTGCCACTGGGGCCTGGAGCCACCACGTGGCCCCATGTTGATAACGTCCCCCTGTCCCCCCCACCCACCCCCAGGAGGCAGTCGGGCTCCTTCCTCAGCACCGGCTGGTTCACCATGATCCTCGCGCTGGAGCTGTGTGAGGAGATCGTGGTCTATGGGATGGTCAGCGACAGCTACTGCAGGTCAGACCGGCCGGGCCGGGTACGCGGGGACACGGGGAGCACTGTGAGCCCTCCTAGGCCTTAAGCCAGAGGATTTGGGAGCTGTAGGGGCACAGAGTGTGTGGGTTTCATGGTGGCTGACCATAGCACAGATACCCCTTGGGCTCTGGGCCTTGGGAAAGAGCTCAGCGTCAAACAGGCTGCCTTACCAACAACCCCAGTGCTGCTCGTTGTGGCCACAGGCTGGTCACAGGCCAGTCATGCCACCCTGCAGACCCTCTGTTTCCTTATGTGGAAAATAGAGAAAAGAACCACATCTTCCTTGGAAGGTTGTTGAAACATTTAGGGGAGGAATAATCCACAAAAGTGCTTACCACAGTCAGGGCCTATATATATAGGGGCTAAATAGATATATATACACACACACACATATATATGTGATATATTTTATATGTTTTAGTTTTTGATATTACATATGATTTTTGATATTATATACTATTTGATATTATATACCAGCATGACATCAAGTTCAGATATGTTTATGGTATGATTTTGTACCATCGTTATATTATTATATTTCTTTTCTTTCTTTCTTTTTTTTTTTTTTTTGGAGACGGAGTTTTGCTCTTGTTGCCCAGGCTGGGGCTGGAGTGCAGTAGCGCAATCTCGGCTCACTGCAACCTCTGCCTCCCAGGTTCAAGCAATTCTCCTGCCTCAGTCTCCCTAGTAGCTGGGATTACAGGCACGTGCTACCACGCCCAGCTAATTTTTTGTATTTTTAGTAGAAACGGGATTTCATCATGTTGGCCAGGCTGATCTCGAACTGCTGACCTCAGGTTATCCACCCACCTTGGCCTCCCCAGGGATCAGGGATTACAGGTGTGAGCCACCACACCTGGCCTATATTATTATATTTCAATATCACAGAAACTAACGAGTTCAGAACAGGTCACCCAGGTGACAGGTGTCCCTGTGTCCCAGCCATAGCCCTGGCCACACGGCTGGCCCCTGTGATGCTGATGGGGAGGTGGGCGTGCAGGGCTGGTGGCTCTGTGACATGGGAATGAGGGGCTCATCCCTCACCAGGAGCCCAGCACCACTAGCAGGGTGCTTGCAGTCTCCATCTCTTGATCTACACGCTCATTCTAGAAGGTGGATGTGACCATCTGCATTTTACACATGGGATATTGAGGCTCAAAGGGTCCATCTCTGGCCCAGAGTCATCCAGCTAGCAAGAGGCAGAGCCAGGACTTGAGACCTGGCCTTTGGGATTTGCTACTCCCCTATGTGTCTTGGCCTTCCCAGGGATCAGGCATGGGTCTCCATGAGCCCATGGGCCTGGCAAGGGGTGGTCAAGGTAGGCAGCAGGGTGTGGCAGGAGGTGAGTGAGTTCTGTCCCACACCAGCCCTGTTCCCCACCCCACAGGGAGAAGAGCCACCCCTCAGTGCCTTACCATTACTTCGAGAAGGGCCGACTGGATGAATGTCAGATGTACCTGGCACACGAGCAGGCGCCCCGAAGCGCCCACCGCTTCATCACTGAGAAGGCAGTCTTCTCCCGCTGGGCCAAGAAGAGGCCCATTGTGTTCGCCCATCCGTCCTGGAGGACTGAGTAGCCTCCGTCGCCCTGCCAGCCGCCATGCTGTTGGGAAGCCCCTGGGATGTCCCATCCCAGGCCATCACACTCCACAAAAACATTTAATTTATGGATCCTGCCTCCTGCCACATGCTGGGTGGAGTGCCCCACTCTGGCGACACTTGGAGCCATCTCAGGCCTCATGACTTGAAGGGGAGTGGAATGAGGAGCCCTGTCTCCACCTCTACTCCCTGAGTAATTCATGGCATTTGGGGGCTCACCCCACCTCCAGGTCTGTCAAGTGGCCTTTGTCCCTCGGGCTGATGGCCCCCTACTCACCAGCATCATGACCTTGTGCCAGTCCTGGTCCTTCCTCCCCAGCCACCCCTACTACCTTTTGGTGCCACACTTCTCAGGCCGGCCGCCCTGGTTGGGGCAGCCAGGAGCCTGGGGTTTGTTGGGTGAAGGGGCCTTGGAGTTGTGACTGTCGGGGCCGTATCAGGAACGTACGGGTAAACTTGTGTTTTCTGGACACTGTCTCTAGCGTGGTCATGTGTCTAATGTGGAGACAAGAGCTTCTTTCCCTGTCACAATCTCAGAAGCTTTTTTTTTTTAGACGGAGTCTTGCTCTTGTTGCCCAGGCTGGAGTGCCGTGGCGCGATCTCGGCTCACTGCAACCTCCGCCTCCCGGGTTCAAGCAATTCTCCTGCCTCAGCTTCCCAAGTAGCTGGTATTACAGGCGCCCGCCACCACGCCCAGCTCATTTTTTGTATTTTTAGTAGAGATGGGGTTTCATCATGTTGGCCAGGCCGGTCTCAAACTCCTGACCTCAGATGATCCACCCGCCTCGGCCTCCCAAAGTGCTGGGATTGCAGCGGTGATCCACCAAGCCCAGCTGTCCCAGAAGCTGTTGACTGGAATCCCTGAGGCCCCTACCCGGGCCCACATTGGCTGGGCTTCAGTTTCTTCCCCAGCAACCTCCTGCTGGTGGCCCCAGCCCAACCCCTTCCCCAGTAGGTCAGGGCTGCTCCGGGGGGCTGGTTCCTTCACTGCTCTGGCCCAGGAAACTGATCCCAGGCCAGAGACTTCTTTGGGAACCCCGTTCTGTACCCAGTGAGAAGAGAGCCAGGGCCAGGAGGAAGGACTCTGAGTGGGAGGGAAAGTCCTCCACCCATATTGCTTCCCTGGTTCTAGGTCAAATGGCAAGTTAAATTAGCTGTTAAATCTGGGGTTGGGCCTGGCACAGTAGGGGCTAAGGCGGGAGTATTGCTTGAGACCAGGAATTCGAGACCAGCCTGGGCAACATGAGGAAAAGGGCTCTCACCCACTTTAATAGAAGATTGAATTATCGGGGTAAAACAGGACATTAGTATTGAGCATTAACTTGTAGGCACTTTGCAAGATATTGAGACCCTTGCTAATTCCCATGTTGGTACCCATGGCAAACAGCAATGGCTATACCTGGAGCTTACCTGGCCATGAGAACATCAGGCCTCCACCCATCTGACGACTAGACAGAGTGTCGTAAACAAGATTAACAGGATGCTCGTCTGTGATAATTGAAAGTATAGGAGATCTACATGACTGCCTAGGTACAAGATTAGCCTCTAAACCAGCCTCACTAACAATCATTGCAACAGACCACAAAGCAATATCAATACATCAGATTTATATAAAAGCAATAACTAACAGTGCAGAGATTATATTAAGCTTATTCAGAATCACATAAGCAATAAACTAGGTCAGCTAGGCTTCAAGAATCATGATATTATACATACGCTTCCCCCAAGTTTTACGAGTAATTCGTATATTTTGGTAATTATATATTGTTAAGTTAATTTTAAAATAAAAACGAGGCAGAATTATATGCACTTGAATACACACAAAAACAGAACAAAACTATCAAACATAAAATACAGAGCTGGATGCAATGCATAAAAATCAGCTTACCGCAACCTCCATCCCGGTCAATAAGCCCGCATGCCATCTCTCCAAACTGTCAACTAGCGCCGTGCCTATATGACCCACAGCGCCGAGATTGCCACATAGGCATAACTCACAGACACGCCGCACAGCACACATACAAACATTCGTGCACAGTTCCTAGGATCCCCAATTACCTACCCAGCCAAACCCTACTAACCATTTTGGTCACCACACCTATCTCTAGAAAGCCTAAGAGAAAAAAAACCAGCAAAAATACACTGTATAAGGAAGGACATGCCAGAAGAGGACCCACACACACACACACAACAAATCGTAGTGAGAGAAATAAAAAAGAGGCTATCTAGGAAGTATGTGGGGACTCAGTCGGAGCCGAAAGAATCAAAGAATCGTAACGGATTAAAACTTAGATGTTTACACGGACACTAGTCTCAAAAACATAGGAGAATACATATAACTAAACATGTAAGAGAACAAGAGCTTTGCTTTCCCTTAAAAACAATAATCAGCAAAAGCTTTTTTTTAAAACACAAATGAGACGGAGTCTTGCCCTTGTTGCCCAGCTGGAGAAGCAGTGCGCAAGACAAAACAAAAAAACTCAGCGCTACACAGCAACGCTATCCTGCCTCCACCAGGAGTCAAGACACCAATTCTCCCTGCCCAGCTTCACCAAAAATAAAAATAGCTAGATAAAACAGAGCGCCCACACAAGAACGCCCAACAGCTCATTTTTGTATAATTAATTAGATAGAGAAATGAGAGATATTACACATGAATATAGAGTCGAACAGACATCAAAATCTCCTCGACCTCAAGATGATCAACACATTAACACCGCACTCGGCCACACCAAAGTCTGGATGCAGCGGTGAACACACAACTAAGTCCAGCAGAAAACATAGTTACTAGAAATACACTCATGAGGCACACTACACAAAACAGAGGCCAAACATACAAAAAAACATTGCACTAGAGACTTAACGTTTCATACCCCAGCAACAACATCCTAACTGAAGTAGACCCAGACACACCTACAATTCCACAGATAAGTCAAGACAGCGCTGCTCCACAGGGCTGAGATTCCTTCCTGCATCTGATTCCCAAACAAAAAAACACAAAAAAAAACAAAAAAGAAAAACCAACAAAAAAAAAAACAAAAAAACCGCCAAGAGAAACTGAATCCGGCAAGGCCAAGAACTAAAGAAATAAATATCTAATGGACAAAACAAAACATTCCGTTCTGATACACCAGTGGAGAAGAGAGGCCAGCGCCAGGAGCGAGAGCTAACTGCGTGGAAAAGACAAGATCGCATCCACACACATATTAGCTATCCCACGGTTCATAGGTCAACTGCAAGTTAAAATTAAGTCTGTAATAGAAAAATATCAGCGAGTTAAAGAGCGCAGGCACAGTAGGCCACAAAAGGCGAGAGAAATCGCTTGAGACAAGGAATTCGACCAGCATAAGCCACAAAACAACATGACAAAAACACAGTCTCTATCACAATAAAAAAAAAAAAAAGTAGGAGCGAGAGCGGGACCAAGGCACAGTGGAAAACTCACGCCTGTATAAAACACTAGCACTATAGAGAGGCCGAGGTGAGGACCAAATCACAGATCACATGAGGTCAGAAAGACGAACACCAAACGTGGCCAACATGGTGAACCTGTCACTACAAAAATAACGAAAAATAGCAGAGAATGAGAGGCGGAGAGTGCAACGAAAAAAAACCAAAAAAAAAACCACAAACAAAATAAACCCAGCGACATCGGGAGGCTGAGGCAGGAGAATCAGCATATGAAACCTAAGAGAGCAAGAGCGATGCTGATAGCCTAGCAATCAACAAGCCTGAGCGACAGAGTGAGAACTAACACACTCAAAAAAAATAGAAAGAAATGGTAATTAAACTCCTGCAAGCAGGAACCAGATGAAGGCAGACCCTCGGAGAGGGTGCTGAGTGAGATAACAAAAGCTAGCATCAGGCTTATTTTTCCTCACCTACAAAAAATAAGAGAGAAAGGGACGGGCAAGCACAGGTCGGCTCCAGCCTGTAATCAACCGCAGAGCACTAAAATTGGGACAACAAGACGAGAGCGGATCACAAGATCAGGAGAATGAAGAGACCAACCATGGCTAACACAAGTGAAAAACCCTGTCCTAAAAGAAAACAATAAAATAACCAAGCCGAAAGGTAGGCGAGAGACGAGCCGAGAATAAAAAACCAAAACCCAGCTACCAGAAAGAGGAAACACGAGCAGGAAATGGCGGGACAAAGAAACAACAGAGAGTGGAGCTTGACGATGAGACTGAGATACTAGAGCCACTAGATAAACTCCAGCACTAGGGCGACAGAGCGAACTCCGTCTCAAAATAAATAAATAAATAAATAAATAATATAAATGAC